CCCCGGAGGCCGAGGTGAGAGGTTCCTGTGGGCAGTCTGCGGCCAAGGAGAAGTGGGGTTCAGTCCTTAGCAGCCCCCTTAGCGGAGGTCGCCACAGCACATGGTCCCAGCACGGGCTTCCCCCAATGCTCCGTGGGCAGTCCAGAGAGGCCGGGGGCCAGCCTGCGGTGGTGAGACCCCCTTCTCCACAGCTACCACATCGCCTTCGGGCCTGTGGTGGACGGCGACGTGGTCCCGGATGACCCCGAGATCCTCATGCAGCAGGGGGAGTTCCTCAACTACGACATGCTCATCGGCGTCAACCAGGGCGAGGGCCTCAAGTTCGTGGAGGACTCGGCAGAGGCGGAGGATGGCGTGTCCGCCAGCGCCTTCGACTTCACCGTCTCCAACTTCGTGGACAACTTGTACGGGTACCCTGAGGGCAAGGACGTGCTCCGGGAGACCATCAAGTTCATGTACACGGACTGGGCTGACCGCGACAACGGCGAGATGAGGCGGAAGACCCTGCTGGCGCTCTTCACCGACCACCAGTGGGTGGCGCCGGCCGTGGCCACAGCCAAGCTCCACGCCGACTACCAGTCCCCCGTCTACTTCTACACCTTTTACCACCACTGCCAGGCAGAGGGCCGGCCCGAGTGGGCGGACGCGGCGCACGGGGACGAGCTGCCCTATGTCTTCGGCGTGCCCATGGTGGGCGCCACGGACCTCTTCCCCTGCAACTTCTCCAAGAATGACGTCATGCTCAGCGCTGTGGTCATGACCTACTGGACCAACTTCGCCAAGACTGGGTGAGGGCCCGAGGGCCTCGTGGGGCGGGGGGGCGCCCCCGTGGGTCGAGGTCCCTGCCTTCCCTCACAGGGCCCCCTCTTCGTGCCAGGCGCTGAGGGTTGGAGGAGACGCCCTGTGTTTCCGGGGGTGGGCTCTGCTGTGACTACTGTCTGGCCACCCCGGTCAGCATCTCACTATAGGGTCTGTCTGTCTGTCTGTCTGTCTGTCGCTGCTGTGTGTCTCTTTCCTCAGATCCACTGACTTCTCCCTCCGCCCTCTTTGGTCTTTGTTTCTTGGCTGCCGTCACCAGGACTATCCTCCTATCCCTGGCTGCCTGTCTCTCCATTTCTGTCCCTTTCCACCTCAGCTGAGTCCCTGGGTCTCCAAACTTCATCTCTGCACTCTCTTTATGTGATGTCCTGCTCTGTGTCTCCTTCTCCTCCCCCCCCCCCGACCCCCGTCTCTGTCTCTCTCTGTCTCTGTCTCTCTCCCTCTCTCAGGGCCTCACTCTTTCTTCTGGCCCAGGCCAACCCTTTCTTCTGCCGCTTAAGCGCTGGGGTTGTGGGCATACCCAACCTTTTCTAGCTTTAGATGTTTTCAGTCTCTGTCCTCCCTGGCGTCACCCTCACTCCGTTCCTTGCCCTCTGGTGCCCACAGTGACCCCAACCAGCCTGTGCCGCAGGACACCAAGTTCATCCACACCAAGCCCAACCGCTTTGAAGAGGTGGTTTGGAGCAAGTTCAACAGCAAGGAGAAGCAGTACCTGCACATCGGCCTGAAGCCGCGCGTGCGCGACAATTACCGCGCCAACAAGGTGGCCTTCTGGCTCGAGCTGGTGCCGCACCTGCACAACCTGCACACAGAGCTCTTCACCACCACCACGCGCCTGCCTCCCTATGCCACGCGCTGGCCGCCCCGCACACCCGGCCCTGGCACCGCGGGCACGCGCCGCCCGCCCCCACCCGCCACCCTGCCGCCTGAGTCTGATGTGGACCCGGGCCCGAGGGCCTACGACCGCTTCCCCGGGGACTCGCGGGACTACTCCACCGAGCTGAGCGTCACCGTGGCCGTGGGGGCCTCGCTCCTCTTCCTCAACATCCTTGCCTTTGCTGCCCTCTACTACAAGCGGGACCGGCGACAGGAGCTGCGCTGCCGGCGGCTTAGCCCGCCGGGAGGCTCGGGCACGGGGGTGCCCGGCGGGGGCCCCCTGCTGCCCACTGCTGGCCGCGAGCTCCCCCCCGAGGAGGAGCTGGTGTCACTGCAGCTGAAGCGGGGCGGCGGCGTGGGCGCGGACCCTGCGGAGGCCCTGCGCCCTGCCTGTCCACCCGACTATACCCTGGCCTTGCGCCGGGCGCCGGACGATGTGCCTCTCCTGGCCCCGGGAGCCCTGACCCTGCTGCCCAGCGGCCTGGGGCCCCCGCCCCCGCCCCCACCTCCCTCTCTCCATCCCTTCGGGCCCTTCCCACCGCCTCCCCCAACCGCTACCAGCCACAACAACACGCTACCCCACCCCCACTCCACCACGCGGGTATAGGGGGTGGCTGGGGAGGCCGACCTCCCAGCCCTCCCCAGCCCAGGCCACTTGAAGGCAGGGAGGACTTGGCACCCGGCCTTTCCCTGTGATTTGTCGACTGTTGTGGAGCAGAGATAAGGTGGACAATGGGATTCGTCACCGGGATGCGAGTTTTTCCCACGCAGAGGCCCGTCCCCTCCTCAGGACCTGGGCCTTTGAACACCTGGGGGGTGTTTTTTGCCCTCCGTTTGGGACACCCGTCTTCGGAGTGTGGAAATGTGGAGGTCTTTTTTTCCCCACATGGAGGTGTGCGGGGGTTCTCCCATGTGCAGGGTGAGGTGGTTTGTTTGTTTGTTTTTTGTTTTTTTTCTTTTCTGTTCTTTTCTTTTTTGCTGCCCTGGACTCATGTGGGCCCCCTCAAAGAATTCCTGCGGGGATTTGTACCCCAGAATCCTGTTCCCTCATGCCTTTGCCTTCTCCTCCCCGTCCCACTCCCTGGAGACCTTGGAAGCGATGTGTTCACATGTAGTGGCCGCTGGACACCAGACCACACAGGGTGGCACCTGGGAGCAGCCAGGGAACCACAGGCCCCTGCACCCCACTTCCCCTCCACCCCTGAAAAGCATGTTTCTCCCCCACGGCACAGGCGTGAAGCATGGCCTCGCTGGAGGCCCTCACCTTCCACAGACAACATAGACTTCCCGCTAGAGGAAAGGGGGCGATCTGCGCACCCCAGCCCTGCCTGGAGGCTTCCTTCCCACAGCCCCGGACACATTTCACAGAGTGGAGACATGTTCTTGCATGTGGACGAGTGTTTCCCGGGCAGAGGGCCCTGCTCACCCCAGCGCTCCTCTGCAACCCCCCACCTCAGGTCCAGCACAGTCCCTCCTTACGCAGAAGCTGGGAACAGACTTGAGAGTGACAGGAGCCGCTGGGGAAGTGCCAACTTCTTGGGAGACGCTGAGGTGGGAGGATGTGGGGGCATGTCACACAAGAGGCCATGCATGTTTGACCTAAGCCCTCGAGGGGCCTGAGGACAGCCTCTTCCTCAGTCCGTGAGACCAGTGCTCATCCGTGCCAAACTGGGTAGATGGGTTGGGAGGTTCTCAAAATGTGCCAAGGATCCCCTAAGTCCTAGTCCAGAGAAGGGAAATACCATACTGAGGGCAGGTGGCAGCTACGGGTCCCTCCCTGTGTCTCATGCCTGTGTTTGCCTTGTCTGCCTTGTTCCTCATTCTCTATCACCTGGCTCCGTCTGTGACCTCTTCCCATCTCAGGGTCAGACCGGCCTCCTCTCTTCACTTTTGACCCGCTTCCCGTCCCTGATTGGCTAAAGAAAAGGAAAAGTGGAAGGGGAAGGGAGGAGTCCGGGAAAGAGGTTACATGGGCAGGTTGGGGAGGGAATGAGGTCAGCTGTGAGGAGGAGCAGATGGAGGGGCCGTGAGGGACAGGATGGACTCTAAGACAGGAAGACCTTCAGAGGAGATGTGGGAGGCAGCTGCCTGGAGGCCTCGGGATTTGAGCCTCTGGGGCAGGCGCTGTCAGGAACCGCTCTAAGGGTCAGTGGTGGAGGTGTGACTGAATCGTCAAGTATTGTGTGGCTTTCTGTGGGATGTCAGTGCCAAACTTGTACAGGGGTGGGGTGCTGTCTTCCGCTGACACCCAGATCCAGAACCCTCTCCCCATCCCCCATGGAAACGTAGTTCTTTTCCGGCCCTTCCCCGCCTGGTCTAGCGACTCTTGGAACAGCCATGCCTTCCAAATGCTATCAGCCTGGGCCCTGAGCCCTGTAAGCAGATGCCCCAGAGCTGGGGTGTGAGGGGGCTGGGGGACCCCACGATACAGCCACGGACTCCAAATGCCCAGCCCCTTTCCAAACAACCCATGTCCCCACCCCACCCTCTGCGGCTCTGTACACATTTTTAAACCTGGCAAAAGATGAAGAGAATATTGTAAATATAAAAGTTTAACTGTTTTTCTTTCTGTCTGCTGTTGTGTGAGGAGGTGGTGGGGAAAGGTACCAGACCTGGTTGTATCTGTTATTTTGGAAGGTGATGGGAAGGAGTGCCCCAATCCCTTTCAGAAAATAACTCAGGATCTGAGGGGAAATGGCAAGGCTAGGGTTGCCATAATGACAGGATTGGGTGGTCGTCAAATAGCTACACTTAGAGCATTCAGGTGTTTGCTGCAGAGGGATCAGGAACTGGAGACCAGACTGGGCTGCATAGGAGACCTTGTCTTTGAGAAGAGTGCTGGACAGAGTACATGTCGTAATATCAGTCCTTGAGAGGTAGAGACAGGGATCAGAGTTCAAAGGCCATTCCTGGCTACACAGAAAATTTGAGGCCATCTTGGGCTACATGAGACCTTATCTCAAACAAAAGATCAGGAGATCTGTTTGCGGGATCAAGGGCCTGGTGTTGTCTTAGGAGGAGCAGGAACTAACTGGGGCAGGTGCCCAGTGGGTTAGAGCACCAATGGGTTCACCCAGGAGGCTGGCTATAAGAGGCATAAATAAAGGGTTTGGGCCCTAGGGCTGGGCGTCAACCCTGGGCCTCATGCCTTAAGAGTCTGTCTCATCTTGTCACATTATGAGGAAAAGCCCAGCTCCATTGTGACCCGCTGACTCTCAGGACCCCCTGAGTCAGGCTGGCAGGCCAGTGAACACTAGAGGTAGTGGGCTGGGGGCCTAAGGGCCCTGGTGGCCCTAGGGACCGCCATGGCCCTGGCTGAGCGGCCACGGCCTGGGTGGGCCTCCTATCAAAACCCCAACACCAACAACTGCCAGGACATGGGAAACTCCATTCTGTTGCTATTGGGTCTCGTCATTTGTATTAACATTGGCATCAATTTGGTGACCCTGGTCAGGGATGGAGGGGTGGCTGGGGTGGCTGGGAGGCAGGCCTGGTTATAAGGACCTACTTGTGGTCACCATATCCTCCTATACCTAGCTCTGGAGCCGACTCCGCATCATCTTACACCGAATGTTCCGTATCATTTATGAGAAAGGTAAGAGCGTCCAGGGGTTGGGGCCGAGGAGGGGCAGAAAGCACCTGACTGCATCGAGCTGCAGCTCCTCAAAGCCCCACCTCCCCCTGTCCTGAAGGCAGCCCCTCCACCAGCCTTCCCCTCCCTCACCCACAGAAACCGCCAGGCTTTCTTCAGCTGAGAAGCAGACCTGCCCAGAAGTCCGTCTTCGATGTACCATGGACCCTGTGAAAATGACCGTGACTCCCCCACTCGCTCGCCGGCATCGCCGCAGAGCCTCTCCGTCTCGGCGTGCCCACCGCCCAGTAGCCTGGGCCCCAGACACTGACGATGAGAAAGCACCGTCACACCAGCGCCCAGCCATCTGCTCCCGCCACTGCGCTGGCCACAAGGACTGGGAAGACTTCCAATCTCTACAGGAGGTCTGGGAGCCCTGGACTCAAGACTGTCTGGAGCAATCTCCCCAGACCATCCACTTCCAGCCAACGGTAGAGGGAAGGCCTCTCAAAACCGAGATTCGGTCCGAGCAGGACCTGGAGGCCTACGTGTACACTGTGAACCCCCCGCCCCGCAGTCCGGAGGCTCTCTGCCATAAAAATGATGGGGTGGGGCCGGGGGCAGGTGCCGAGGGTGAGCAAGGGCAGTGCCAGCCCCCCTCGCCGCCCTATCTGGGTCCGGCCAATGTCCCTGAGATAAGCCGGCGCCGGTCCTCGGGCCGAATAGTATATGATGCCCGAGAGGTAAGGCGCCGGCTACGAGAGCTGACGCGGGAGGTGGAGGCTTTGTCTCACTGTTATCCCTTGGTCTCCGGATCTAGCGCCGCGGAGGGGACAAGCAGAGATTGGGTGTATCGTCCCCTGAAGGGAAGGTGACTGGGGACAAAAGAATAAATTAAAAGGAGAGAGGAAGAGGGCTGTGGTGGTATGGAGGGAAGGACTGTCACTGTGCCCAGAACCCCTGGTTGCTAAGTGAAGGACCTCCCTCGACTCGGGGTCTACAGCCCTGAGGACCCTTGTCACTCTTGCCCTCAGAGGCTCTTTTCTCAGGCCCTCTCCAAGGCCCTTGATGGTAACAAGGCTCCCAACTGTCTCTAAGCCGCCAAGTCCAGTCAGGTGCCCAGGTGGTCCTGAACTCTAAAGCACAGACCTCAGGCCGCAAGGCCCTAGCCCAGAGGTCCAGGGAGCCCAGGGTTAGCCTACAGGTCCAGCAGAAGCACAGCTCTCTCTAACGCTCCGGTCTTGTTGGGCAAAGATGGCGGAGAGAGGGAGGCTCACTAGCCTCTCTCCATCTCCCAGGCAGTACTGGAAGTTCCTGCAGCCCTTGAGAATAGACTTAGAAGCAGGAAGTAAAATAACAGGGGTACTCCCACATGGCACCTTCTCATAATATCTCAGCTCCCATGTCCTTATGACTCTCTATGTCACAGAAAAAAGATGGAGGCTCAGGCCAAGGGCCATGCTCGAGGCCACAGACAGCAGCCCTTAGACTCTGTACCTCTCCCTTCCCAACCCCACCACCCCCGCGGCAGACAACTCTCCACTGCCGGGAATCAGCCCAGCCTATGCTTTACTAAGTCCCCTCTTCCGAATACCCATCCACTGAGCAGCAGAGAAACTGGCCCGCTGCCCTGCTCTGGAGACGGCTGAGAGCCTCCCGAACACACACCATCTTGAGAACCAGAAACCACGTGAGTGCAGGCTGAAGGAAACGGACGTCACCTTTCACAAAAGATGTGAGCATCTTTTCTACAAACCACCCTATTTTTCTTCTCACTCACACTCAACTGAAATCAAGTGGTCATGCATGCCTGTCCCCTGGAATTCAGAAGGCTGTGACAGGAGGATCACTGAAAGTTCAAAGCCAGGCAGGGCTATACGGCCAGTTCTAGGCTAGACGGGGCGAGACACAGTAACAGCAGAGCAAACAAACCCCACAAAGAAGTTGCTGATCCCTTAGTTAACTTTATTCTGTCACATGTGGGGACCACAGAGACTGCTCCTCCATCTTTTGCTCAGTAGTTTGCTGTCTAAAACATGCTTGGCTGGCAGGTGGAAGCAGGAAGGGTCAGGGAGTTCAAGGATGGTCAGCGGCTTACATGAACGCCTGTCTCCTGCGCCTGCAACCCAGTGCTCTGGAGGCGAAGGCAGGATGGTTGTTGCAAGTTCAAGGCCAGCCTGGTCTACCTCTTGAGTTCCAAGCCAGGGAAGATCATATAGGGCCCTGTTTGGTTTTTGTTTTGTTTTTGGGATGGGCGCTCACTGTGTAGCCTTGACCTCACAGGAATCTGCCTTCCTCCGCCTCTGGAGTGCTTGAATTAAAGGCATGTGTCACCATGCCCAAACCCTCTTTTTTTCCTATGTCTACATTGGGGTGGGTATGTGCAATTGAGTGAAGGTGCGGTGGGGGCCAGAAGAGGGTGTCAGATCCTCGGGAAGGAGATCTAGGTATGAGTGAGCCACCCAACCTGAGTGCTGGAGACTGAGCTTGGTCCTCTGCAAGAGCCATGTGCAGTCTGGCCTGCAGCGTCTGCTCCGGTCCCCTGCTAGACCGACACTAGACAAACCACACCCTTGCGGCCAGCGTGCTTCCCTCACAGACAGGTGGCCGGTGACCTGGCTTAGGCCAGATTTTGTCCTCAGTTAGGGCTCTGTGGAGTGTGGGAACTCTCTAGTGCTGAGGAAACATGTTTGGCAAGTACTCTGCCATTTAACTATAGTGTGTGCTATCACTAGCCCCAGGTGGCCTGGGACCATCGTCCTGCCTCAGCTTCTCCAGCAGCTAAGATTGCCCAGCCTGTTGCTACCATGCTGTGCTGGGGTGGGGAGTTGTTTTTCTGGTATTTCCAGACAGGGTTTCTCTGTGCCTAGCATTAGCTGTTCTGGAGCTCACTTGGTGGTAGCCCAGGCTGGCCTCGAATGCAGAGACCCGCCCACCTTCGCCTCCCAAGGGCAGGGGCTAAAGGTGTGTGCCGCTTCCTGGCTGTGCTGGGGTTTTCTTAAGGTGGCAGTCAGGCCGAAGCGGGTCAACAAGAGGACTGTCTCTTTGGATGGAAGGAGAACCATGGTTGGGGTTCCTGGTTGGCAGGGACATCTCTGAGCAAGGTGGAAGTCGGCTTGGCGCCGAAGCAAATGAGCCAGCACTGGAGATGGTGCTAACATCAGAGCAAGGAAGCGGTCAGCATGGGGAGAGCTGGTACTGCCGGGTGCCAACCTCAGAGGCTGGCCTCAAAGCAGGCATGAAATGTGTGTCAGGAGAGCAATGACCCTTTATGGATATTTTGACTGAAGATGTCTCCTGACTGAGAATACTGTACTTTCTGGCCAGGCACTGGATACGGGGTAAGTTGGCCATCGAGAAGACTGGAATCAAGTACCCAGGAGCCGTGTTCTGTCAAATAGAAGCCACGCTAGGGGTCAAAGGGGAATAAAAGAGCGTCCACCGCTGCATTATGACTCCAGCCTGCCTCATTGTGACCTGGCTCCCTCCCCACAGAGTAAGCACCCCTCAGGACTGGCACGAATACAGTGTGGGTTGGGCTGGGTGGGGGGGTGGCCCAGGTGGCCTTAGAACCCCCCCACCATGCAAAACCAGCTGTGGCAGGGGCCCCTGGGGTGCAGCAATCAATACCAAGAAAGCCCCCAGGATGCCGAGGACACCCTTTTCCTGCTGCTGGGCCTCATCATCATTGTCAACATCAGCATCAACGTGACGACCATGGTCAGTGACCCCTGGGGCTCACCGTGGGCATGGAGGAGGCCGAGCAGGAGAGCAGCTTCAAGCTTGCGTCATTTGCACAAATGGGGGGATTGCTGGGAATGGGGACCGTGTTAGAAAGCTGGTCCTCACTCCGGTCTCCCCACCACCTCCAGATGTGGCATGGCCTCCAGAATGCTTTAGACAAGATGCTGTCTTGGATGAAGCAGAAGAGTAAGTATGTGAGACAGACAGACACACGCACACACCCTGATCCTAACAAACCAGGGCCTCGTGTTCCTAACCCTGAACTCCTCCGGCTCATGTCTCTCACAGACGAAGTCCACGTGGCTCAGTGTCCCCCCAAAGCGGCCCCCGCCAACACACAGGACGTTCACATCCACTGCGTCCTCGACCCGGTCCAAGTGAAGATGGCGCGGCCCACGCGCTACTTCTCCTCCTCTCACCACTCCCTCCCTAAGCGCCGCAGCAACAGGCGCAACCGCAGGCGCCGCCACAGCCGCCACCACCAGAGGCGCCACAGCTTCCAGCGCCAGGGCCACCACGACCACCCCGACCACCACGACCACCAGCCCGGACGGCAGAGCAGGAAGCTCTCCCACAGCTTCCGGGCGCCCTTCTTCGAACAAGCCCAGCGCCGCCGGAAGTCTTCGGTGCGGCCCACGCCGTTTTTTGACCTGGAACGGCGGGATTCCCTTCCGGAGGACGACCAGCCCTGCCCGCACTCCAAGTACCCGCGCCGGGGCTGGGGCAGCTTCTGCAGCCCCGTGGGCCTGGCCTCCAAGGCGGGGCTGTGGGGCCGCCAGGGCGGAATCCTCGCCAGCTTCCCGCTGCCCTCCCTCTACCTGTCGCCGGAGCTGCGCCGCCTGCCCAAGCGAGTAGAAGCCAAGTCGGAGCTGAGGCTGCAGGCCTTCGGGCCCCGGTACTCGCAGTCCCGGAGCTGGGGGCCCGCGGAAGCCGAGCCCTGGGCCTCGTCGCCGCCGCCGCCCCGCCGGCTGCTCCCTAACCCCTCCTGGCTCACCGTGGGCCACAGCCCCTTCTCCTCGGGCGGCCACATTCCCCACGACGCCTGGGAGCCGCGGCGGCGCGGGACGGAGGGCCCCGAGCCACCCGCCCTCGTGCCCAGGACCGCCAGGCCCGAGGTCGCGGGCTTCCGCGAGCACAGCTCGGCGCAGGCCCACCGGCCGAGCCTCGCCAGCTACGCCCACAGCCAAGCCAACCAGAGTCCACCCCAGTCCATAGGGCACGTGGGCTACGCGTCCCGGGAGTCCCACGAGCGCAGGCGGCCGTCCGACTGGACCGAGGTCTTCCCCTCCCGGCACCCTCTGACCACCTCCACCTCCCTTACGACGCTGGGCGAGGCCTCGTACCAACGGGCGCCGGCCGCCGGCTCGGGCCTCGCGATGCCTCACTCCTCGCAGCCCCTGCCGGACCTGCAGGCCTCCGACCCGACCCCGTCTCCAACCAGCTTCGTTCCACTCAGTCGGAATCCGGGTGGCAACGCCAGCTACCAGGTGTACGACAGCCTGGAGCTGAAGCGGCAGGTGCAGGAGACCAGGGGCCGCTCCAGCTCCCTGCCGCCCCCGTCCACGTCGGCGTCCAGGCCCTCTCTGCACAGAGGCAGGACCTGCAAACTTACCTGAGCGGCAGGGGAACGGGGCAGCGGAGCAGGGCGAGGAATAAACAGAGTCCAGAACCCCTCGCCGTTGTCTGTGCCTCCAGCCTCTCCCTTCTCCAGCCGGTGTTCCTGAACCCAGAAAGCAGCCCCCGCCTTAGCGTGGCGCCCCTGTCGCCTTCCTGCCTTGACCCTGCCCGGGGCCTCCTGGTTCTGTGGGAGAGGGCTCGCCAGCTCGAAGCTGCAGATCAGGCTCCAGGCACCCACCTTGCCCCTATTCCTCTGCTCCGGGCACAGACGAAGCTGTGCCTGAGCCTGAGGTCAGGGCCCGAGAGAAGACTCAGTTCCCAGCACCCGCATGCTGACTCACAACCATCTAACTCCAGTCGCAAGGGGACCTGCTGTCCTCCCCTGACCTCCAGGTGTGCCAGGCACCCATGCAACACACACACACACACACACACACACACACACACACACACACGCAGGCAATGTGCTCGCACACATAAGATAGGATAAACTGTTGGAGCCAGGCGGTGGTGGTGGCACAGGCCTTTAATCCCAAGCGCTAGGGAGGCAGAGGCAGGCAGGGCCAGCCTGGTCTACAAGAGCGAGTTCCAGGACAGCCAGGGCTACACGGAGAAAGCCCGTCTCGAAAACCAAAATAAAAAATAATTTGCTGGGGCGTGGGGGAGAGAAGGGCTGGAGCCAGGGACAAGGCAGGTCAAAGCCTGAGGCTCAGTGTGGGAGGAAACCCAAGGCTCTATGCTCCAGCCAAGGTCGTGGGCGCCCCAATCTTAGGGGTGATCAAGGGAGGGGTGAGAGAGTCTGGGTTTTCGGTGGCAGGAGTGAGGTGTGTTTGAGCTGAGTGGACAGAACAGTGCGGGGGACGATGTGTAAGGGAAGGGCTCCAGGCCTAGGCCTCAGGCTCAGACTGGTGACCAGGTACCTTCATCTCTCCCACGGCCCCATTGTGATGCCAGTCACCTGCTCCATTGTGACGCAATTCTCCTCCCCTCCCCCACTAGGGGGAGTCTGTTTCCTAGTATGTGGGGGACATGGAGCCCAGGTAGTCCTGGGACCCTGAGTCATGGGTGAACAAGTCTACCATGGAGCCCAAGCATGCTCAGGCACCAACCTCAGGAAATGCCAGGATTTGGGAGACTCGATTCTTCTGCTTCTGGGCAGCTTCATCATGCTCAACGTGGGCTTCAACGTGGTCACTCTGGTCAGGGCAGGGTCTGGGTGGTAGGGGAGGGGGGCCTGGGTTCTGTCTGCTTGTTGGTCTCAGTATGTGGCTCAGTTTGAATCACAAACGTAAGTAAGACCTTCCTGCCTCAGTCTCCTGAGTACTGTAATCACGGTCACCCACTACCAAGCTCGGTGATGCTCAGGGGGCTGCTGGGTGTGGCTGGACCAACACGGGCCTCTGAGGCTCACCTGCCTCTGGGCCCTCTTTCCCCTGCTTCCCTCAGCTCTGGAAGCATCTGAAGTGCTCCCTGCGGATTCTTTTCCATCATTTTTTCCCCAAAGGTGAGTGGGACTCTGCACGGTCCCCTGGGGATGTGGCTTGTCCCCTTGGTCACAGCCCCGCCCCCCCTGAGCACCCTGTCCTTTCCCACTCGTCCTTCCCTGCAGATAAGCAACCCGTTGGTCTGGCCAGCCAACCAACGTGTATGCGGCACGCAGCCGATAACAAGAGCCCGTGCCCAAGAATGCTCTCCCGGCTCCACCACCGCAGCTTCCTGCTCGGGGCTGTCAATCACCTTGACTCTTGGATACCAGACACAAATGACGAGAACCTGCGGATGCCACCCCCGTGCGGACACGACAGAGCTTCCTCGGATGCTCCCTGGGAACTGTGGAAACGGGGGCTGATGGGCGCTGCGGAAGATCCTCAGGCCGCAGTCACGAAGATCCAAGCTGCTTCATTTCCCAGGCCAGAGACTGCTCCCCAGACTCCAAAGACAAGCAAGCTGGACTCGGCTCCACCCTCTTCACCCCAAGACAGCAAGACTAAGGCAGCGGTTGGCAGCCTGCCCCATGCTCCGGCCCAGGCTGTAACCTCTTCCTCAGCCAACACCCACGAGCGCCCTGGCACCCAGCCTCAGGCCTCAGAGCGCACTCAGCTCAGGCCTGAGCATACCTCGGCCCATACCCCAGCCCTCAGTGAAGCCCCAGAACCAACCAGTGCTTCATGCCCAGCCCCCACCCCGTTCCACCCCCCAGCCCAGGCCCCAACCTATCATCAGGCCCATGCCTTGGGTCAGGCCCAGTCCTTCATCCTGCCCCCTAACCCAGCTCCCACCCCAGCACAGAGTTTAGCCCACATCTCCAGGCAAAGCTTATGTCAGGCCCTGTCCTTCATCCTGCCCCCTAACCCAGCCCCCACCCCGGCCCCCACCCCAGCACAGAGTTTAGCCCACATCTCCGGGCAAACCTCAGCGCATTCGTTACCTCAGCCCTCAGTCCAGGCTCCTACATGTGCGTCTTTCCAGTCCCAAGGCTGTGATCCCATCCAAATCCCAGGATGTGCCCTGACTCACTCCCCTGAGCAAACAGCACCTCCAGCCTCAGCATGTGCCCCGTTCCATTCTCTACTGCCTTCCCATGCCCATACCACAGCGCCTAGCCCAGCCTCTGCCCCAGTCTCCAGTGCCCCGGCCTCTGTCTCAGCCTCTGCCCCAGCCCCTGCCTCAGCACGGTCACAGACTGTGCCCACCACCCAAGCCTCTGCCACCCTGCCTCCCGCTCCTTGTACTCGGGCTAGCTTTGCTCCCAGCTTCTCCACCGGCCGGGTGGTCTACGATGCCCGCAGAGTGAAGCAGAGCCCTCTCCTGAAGAACGGCTCTCAGTGCTTCAGGAAGGACGCAAGCAACCTCTCCAGGACACAGGAGGTGGAGGGCCTGGCCAATTCTGGCACTGCTGAGCAAACACCAAAGCAGCAAGCTGGGGACAGTGCTAAGCCTCCTGCAGGGTCTATCCTGGGCTACCTGGAGTTGGGGAACATGGAATGGAAGATCTCAGACAATGCCAAAGATAAGTTCCCCCAGCCCAAGACCTTCCCTTACTGCAGCTTTCATCCTTGCTGCTCTGAGAGGAAAAATGACGAACCCCAGGCCCCAACCTACCCCAAGATCCTGGTCTACACCCAGGACACGACTTCTAAACCTTGTCTCCACTCTCCAACCGCGGCTCAGAGCGCGCTGCCCGCCAGCCCTTCGAGGTGCACCCTCTCCCTGCCTCTTGTCTCCCCCAGAACCTTCGCTGCTCCTCAGTCTCACCCCCAGAAGCCCTGCAGCTCAACACAAGCCCCCACCTTCCTCTCGACCTCCACGTCTACTCACACTGTCTCGTCTCCCCACTCCTCCATCCCTTCTCAGTTCTCCACCGTTTCCCAAACCTTAATCCAAGCTCCGAACCCCGAGAACCAAAACCTTAACCAGGGCGTCGGTCTTCAGAAGACCCCATCCCTTGCCAAGGACTCTGGGGCTCCCAGGAACTGGGGTTTTCCCCAAGATACAGGCCTCCAGAAGGACCCAAGCCTTACCCCGAGTCCAGGACTCTGCAAGAACTCAAGCCACAACAAGAACTTGGGTTCCTACAAGTTTCCAGCCCATATTCAAGATCCTTTTCTCTGCACAAATCCAAACATTCCCCAAGGGTCCTACCTTCAAAAAAATCTACATATCAATGAAGATGCCAGCCTGAGGACTTCCGCTGCTGTTCAGGATGCCGGCATCCTTGGGAACCATCCACCCTCAGGTCTCATCCAACCTTCCAGCCTCCCCAAAAATATAATATTTAATCAGTCATCTGGTCAGAGGACTTTGAGCTTTCTGCAAGACTCTGTGATCCACAGGAACACTGCATCAAGCCAAAACCCTGTAACCAACAAAAATAAAGATCTCTGCCCGGCAACTAACCAAACAAAGCCAGACCCCTCTCAAGGTTCCGGAGTTAACAGTGGCCCAAGAGGTGTTCAGCTTCCAGGAGTCTGCAGGGATGTCGGCCTCACTCCAGCCTCTAGGCCACAGAAGACCCCGTGCCGCACCCAAGATTCTGAAGCTAACGAAAGCGCAGGGTGCGCCCAGGAATCTAACGACCCCAAGAGCCCAGGGCTTGACCAAACCTCTTGCCTTCACAAGAGCTCAGGTCTCACACATGTCTCAGAAGACAGCAAGAATCTAGACCCTAGCCAAGATTCTGGAATCTGCAGAGTCCCAGGTTTTAACCAAGACTCTGACTTCCACAAGAGCCATAGCCTCATCAATGCCAAGAAAAGACTGGATCTTGACCAAGATGTTGGCGAAGACCCGGACCTTCAGGAGTGCCCATCAGCCGGTCAAAACCCTGGTCTTCACCAGGCCCCAGCACTTGGCCAAGGCTCTCACGCTAAGCCTCCAGGCCCTACCCAGCAAGCTTGCCCCTGCAAGGACTCAGGCCCCAATGAGAAAACGGGCTCTGTTCCAGGTACGGACTCTGTCCAAGTCTTGGGTCCACTTCAAACACTGATGCTGTCATCTTCCCCAGTGAAATCCGTTGCAGGTAAGATGGCTTCTCAGAAGGACAATGCCAAGCAGCAAGCATCCTGGACTTCTGTCCCAGTCGGTCAGAACACCAGCCCTTCCAAGGCCCATGTGGCGTCCACTGCCCTGAAAACGTTTTCTGAGGTCCCCGTACTGATTGAGCTGCAGCCTCCCTCCCGGCCCTTAGGCAGCCAGGACTGGGTATACCACACTGCAGATACCGTAACCCCGGCTTGCCAGAAGCATCGTCAGATGCCTCCCAAAGCCAACTGGAAGCCCCATCCCCCTGGTCCAGGTACCCGGACGGGTCATGTGGTCTTTGATTCCTGCCAGAAACCATTAGTCAACAGCAGGAAGAAGTGTGAAGCTCTGTCTCCCCGGCGTGCGCAGCAAGAGGCATCCAGAAGCTCAGAGGAGGCCAAGAAGGAATGGGGGTACCAGGGTGTGATGAGGACCTTGAACGAAGAAAAGGCGAATGTGCGTCGGGAATAAAGAGGCGAGAGGCGCATTCGACGGCTGCTTGAGGCTCTCCACCCCAGTGCTACCAGGGCTTTCAACCACCATCTTAAAGAGATACCACTGCCCTCCTCTCCTCCACAGCTCTGTGGCCAAGCCTGTCATCTTCCAGACTCCAGGGCTGTCTTTCGGAAAAAAGAAACAGTAGCCACTAGCCAAATGTGACTATTAGGATGTCAATTAAAACTTAAAATCCTCAGAGGGAGGGTTGTGTCATCGCCACCTGTCACCCCAGCGCCTGGCAGGTGGAGGTAGGGTCAGGAGTTCAGGGAGCCCTCGGCTGTACAATAAATTCAAGATCAGCATGAGCTTCTCCTAAGGGGACCTGGGTTGGAGCCCTAGCTCACCAGGTGGCTCACGGCTGCCTGTAACTCCAGAGGACCTCGTGCCATCTTCTGGCCTCTGGGAGCACTGCATACGTGTGGTACCCAGACACCAAAAAAAGTGACAAGTTAAGCTGGGCATGATGGATGGATGCCTTAAATTCCAGCATGCAGAAGGCAGGTGGATCTCTGTGGGTTCAAGACCAGCCTGGCCTACAGAATTCCTAAGACAGGGCTACACAGAGCCTGTCTCACCTGAGCTGGGTAGAGTAATTCATGCCGTAAGATCAGAATGTAGGAGGCTGAGGCAGGGTGATTTCCATTCTGAGCTCAGACAGAGCTACATGGCAAGAGCCTGTCTCAAAAGGCAGCAACAATTTAAGTTCCGCTCTTCAGTCTCTAGACTCATAAGTTCTGGCATGTGGCTGGGCAGCAGGGACGCAGCTGGGCAGCAGGGACGCAGGGCATCTGCATCACAGCTCTGCAGCCCAGGCTAGTTACGGCCTCTGTGCAGCCAATGCTGGACTCGAACTTGCAACCCTTGCAGCCTCGCGTCATGAGAGTTGGGACCAAAGGCATGCTCCACCACACTCCTTCTCACGCTCCACCACCACTCCCGCCTTCTCACGGGAGGAGGGAGCTGGTGTTCTAATGGTGGAGCGCAGGTTGCCCTGACGTTCTGGGTCACTCAGCTCTTGATCAGGGTGCCTGAGCAACAGGCACCTCATACGTTTCCTGGGAGCCCTGATCCAAGGCAATGGGGCCTCTAGTTGACTTTGGGGGGTGTAGACATTGGGATACTCGTGGCAGGCTGAAGGAGCTGTGTTCACGGATTCGATTCCAATGGAGGCAGCCCTCTTCTGCCTCAGCTTCCTGATCATGAGGATTAGAGGGATGAGCGGCCAGGCCTGAGGTACAGCAGGTCATGCCATCCCCTCAAGCCTGGCCATGGCAGTGCACGCTTGCAGTCGCAGAACTTGGGAGGCAGAGGCAGGAGGAGTAGGCGTACAAGGCCAGCCGCCGCACAGAGACAATGCAAGGACGGCATGACAGCCTAGCTTGCTGCCAAGCCTGATGTGGGTTTGCTCTCTGCGCGGATAGGTATTGCAAGGTGCCCTTTGAGTCCACACCCGAGCCGGGGCGCGGCGTGCGGGCGTGCACGTGCCCAAACACACAAGCACGTGCAAGAAAAGGAAAGCTGCACCGCCGGGGGCGCACGCCGTTGATCCCAGCACTCAGGAGGCGGAGGCCTGCAGAGCTCCAAGCTCAAGGCCAGCCTGCTCTACAGAGAGAATTCCAGGACCGCCAGGACTACACAGGGAAACCCTGTCTTGAAAAAACAAAACAGAGGCTGGCCGGGTGGCTCAGTGGGTGAAGCAGCGAAGCTGGATTACTTGACTTTGACGCTTGGGATATGCATGGTGAAGGAGAGGACCAATTTACACAAGTTGCACTCTGACCACCACACACACACACACACACACACACACACACACACACACAAGAGAGAGTTTTAAAAATAAGTTTAAAAATTCTATTTTGTTGGAAAGTAAATGTTTTTTTAAAGAGCATCCCTTTTCATCCACTCCCCAAATTTTCATTTATTTATGCTTTGTTTTTATTTTGTTTTGATAGGGTTTCTCTGTGTAGCCCTGGCTGTCCTGTTCTCAGACTCACCTGCCTTAGGCCCAAGGGCTGGGACTAAAGGTGTGTGCTACCACTGCCTGTCTTGTCCCAATGTTTTCACAGCTTTCAGAAAAACCAGAAAGAGGTTCAGATAGACATGTACAAACGCCCTATGCTTGGTACCCCAAACTGTGAGCCCAGTCTTCAGGGGCTGGAGATTTCTGGCTGCCCTGGCAGAGGACCCAAGTTCTATTCCCAGCACCCACATTGTGGCCCACGATTGTCCATAGCTCCAGTTCCTGGGCTCCAATTCCTCTTCTGGCTTCTGAAGGTACCAAGCAAGCACGTGGTATCTCCCACCCACATATGTAGGTGAAAACACTTATACATGGGGGCAGGGGCTTGAGAGATGGTTCAGCAGTCAGGAGAACTCGGGTTCCATTCCTAGCACTCACACGGCGGCTACCAACCATCTGTAACTCCAGCCCCAGAGGGTCCACACACACAAATGGTGTGCAGGCACGCACGCAGGCCAAACACCCATACCCAAAAATAACTTGGAAAAAGAGGTCCTGGCCTCCACAGCTCTTGATCTGGCCCCTCGAGTCACAGCTCTATAAGCCTGTTTTCCCCGTGGCAGTGACATGAACCCACTAGGTATGGCTCCCCAGGTGAGCTCTGGTCTGCAGACTCCTCCCCTCCTCCATTTTGGGGCACTGCCTTACTTTAGGCTAGGCTCACCTGGAACTCTGCGTCCAGGGTGGGTCTCTAGCTCCTGGTAGTCCCCCTGCCTCAGTGGCCCAAGCGCAGGTGGAGTGTAAGAAGTGTGGCCTGGTGGTAGATGGTCTGTGAGCCTACTGTGTGTTTACAGGTTTACTGGCCCATTGTTTACCACAGTACCAGCCCATCCTGTGTGAGTGTGTGTGTGTGCTATATTCTGATTCCTTGTTTTAGTCTCTGGTAACGGGTTGTGGCCTGACCTAACCTAACTGGGAGTTTCCTCTGGACTTTCGATTTAGTCCTAACAGCTTCAGTGTACCTGTGGCTTCAGCTCCTGTGTTTTTCCTGTCGTGATGTGAGCATGGCTGGTTGCATTCCTTCCCAGGATTCCCATGTCCACTTCTGTGTTGCCTGGGTGTTCCCGTCTTAGTAGTATGACCACTGACTCCAGAAAGACGCTTTCCAACCAGCCTTCCTCACATGGGGTCTCTATCCTGGCTGGCCTGGAACTCACAGAGATCAGCTGTCTCTGTGTCTCAAGCGCTGAGATTAAAGCATCCACCACCACACTCAGCTCCCCCTGACTTTTCTTTTCTTTGAAACCGGAGCATTTACTTTATGACTGAAACCCTCACGATGAACTCGCTGCTGCAGCAGCCCTCGTGGGCTTAGGTGTCGCTCCTTCACGCCTGAAACTGCGACAGACAATTTTCAGTGCCACCTCAGACCAGTCCCAGGAGTGTTTTGTCTCTTAGCCTTGGCCCTCCAGTTATACTTTCTCTTGTGCCTGGCATTGGTCGCTGCGTTTGCCACGTGTCGTCTTCTGAAGGTGGTCAGCCCAAGAGCCACAGCGGTAGCCCTCTGCGTCTTACTGCGGGACTTTCCAGAGGATGGCATTCCTTTTGTGCAGACTCAAAGAGACCGGAAGAGCCCCCACCCCCCTTTTAAAGTTTGTATTTATTTATTATGTATACGGTATTCTGCCAGCATGTATGCTTGCCCACCAGCAGAGGGCACCAGATCTCACTGTAGACGGTTGTAAGCCACCATGTGGGTGTTAGGAATCGAATTCAGGACCTTTGGAAGAGCAGCCAGTGCTCTTAACCTCTGAGCCATCTCTCCAGCCCCCAAAAGATTTATTTATTCATTTATTTAGTTAATGTATATGAGCGCTCTATCTGCATGTGCACCTGCACGCCAGAAGAGGGCATCAGATCATGTTATAGATGGTTGTGAGCCACCATGTGGGTGCTGGGAATTGAACTCAGGACCTCTAGCAGAGCAGACAGTGCTCTTAACTGCTGAGTCATTTCTCCAGCCCTGCTTTTCCCTTTTTTAAGAGTCTAAGTTGCCAGGGCTGGCCTTGAACCCCATATCTTCCTAGCTCCATCTTCCAAGTCCTGCACAGCTTTTCCAGGCTAGAATCTCCGAAATGATCAGGGCTTTCAATCCCAGCACTTGGGAGGCAGAGACAGGGGGATCTGTGAGTTTGAGGCCTAACTGACGTAGTGAGTCCCAGGCCAATGAGGCCTTGTCTCGAGTAAATAAAGAAAACTGAGCCCAGATTTTCCCTAAAGAGCCTCATCTAAGACCGCGGAGCCTCACACACGGAACGGAGGGTGCATTCTTATTGCTTACTCTTCAATCCAACCACGTCCCCCTCCTCTCCACTTCCAAGGAGCATTTGTGTGGGGCTGATTAGACAGAACACGCTGTCTTAAGACAACTTCCTGCTGGGCGTAGTGGCAGGAGCCTGGACTTCAGCACCCGGGAAGCTGCGCTGAGTGGTGACTCCAGGCCAGCTTGGGATACGGAACAAGGCCGTGCGCGCAAGCGCTGAATGTCTTTTGTACCAGAACTCAGGAGGCAGAGCCACGTGGACCTCTGTGAGTTTGAGGATAGCCTTGTCAACACAGCAAGTGCCAAGCCATCCAGAGCGTCTCAGTGGGGCCCAGTCTCAAAACTAAAGTATGTGGTGGAGAGCGAAGAAAAACAAACTGCAGCTTCCGGTAGGCACTACTTCATGGTAAGGGTGTGTAGGCGCGGCTCCAACACACCAACCTTACGGGCAACGAACTACAACTCCCAGGGTGGCAACAGCTCAGCAGGGGGAAGGCGTGGCCGATCTCTCCCAGGAGGCGGGAACCAGGCAGAGCCACCCAGGCAGCAAACAGAAAAGGGCGTGGACATGTGACCACCAGGAAGTTACCTGTGGACTCCTTCTCTGTGCCTTCTGCTCAAGGCCTTTTCAGCTGCCCTTGGCTCGGAAACCCGCGGGCCGTGGGCCTCCTGAAACAGCGGAAGGGGAAGCGGACAGAGGCTGGTGAGGAAGGTTGGCCCCTGGTTTCCCCAGGAGGGGCCGAAGAGCCTTTTTCTTACCTGCCGAGTCAGGTGAACCGCTTGACCGGGTCGCACCCTGCATCTAGGAAAAGGACGCAGGAAGTAGTTACCTGTGCATTTTCAAGACTGAACACTGGGCGCCTCGTCTACAAGACACCCCCCCCCCCCAGCTCCTCAGGAGGAGGGACAGCTGGAGAACTTCTGGGACAGCAAAAGAAAGGCCTGCCAAAGCTAGCTCGGATCTGTTTGCTGTAGCCACGAGCCGAGCCACCGACAAGCATGGCTTCCACCCTCTGGGGCAGCGGCCCGTGGTGGGGCCCGCCGCCCCCCGCCCCCGCCCGGCCGCTCACGGACATGGACTTCTGCTCGGGCGCGCAGCTGCAGGAGCTCACCCAGTTGATTGAGGAGCTGGGTGTGCAGGAGGCGTGGAGCGAAGGGCCCAAGCCCGGGGCCGACCTTCTCCGGGCCAAGGATTTCGTTTTCTCTCTGCTCGGTAAGTCTGCGGGGACTTGCAGACCCCAGCCCCGCCGTTCCCCACCCCGGCTTTGGGCCGGGGCGCCTTCACGACCCTTCTTGTCTCTCTTCAGGCCTCGTTCACCGTCAGGACCCTCGTTTCCCACCCCAGGCAGAGCTCCTGCTGCTCCGCGGCGGGATTCGCGAAGGTTCTCTAGATTTGGGGCAGGCCCCTTTAGGTCCCTACGCCCGCGGACCTCATTACGATGCTGGCTTCACGCTCCTCGTGCCCGTGTTTTCTCTGGATGGCACCGGGCCCGAGCTGCTCCCGGATCTGGAGTCCTGTCACGCCTGGCTCCGCCTTCCAGAGCTGATGTGCGGAGCGTCGGTGCGGGAGGCCTGGCAGGATTGCCTAGGAGCCCCTGTCCCGGGAGAAGGTGATCTGACTCTCCAGACCCACAGTAAAGAGGGCCCCGCGGACCGGGAAAGCGCCGTGGACCAGTCTCGTGATCACGCCCCCGAACCTGAGCCGCGCGCGTCTCTGGAAAAATCACCCGATGACCTTTCAGGGACCCGCTCGCCCTGCGACGACATCGCCAATCTTGAAGCTCCCGGACCACCGAAAACGCCGAGCAGTGACGCCCTGGATGCCGACGGAAGCCCGGTCCCGGAGGCGTCGGGCGCGCCGGAGGCATGGCCCACCTTATGCCCGACCCAAGTGGCTTCGTGGTTCTTCGTTACGCTGGCTGAGGTTGCAGAGTCCCTGGTCCCGGTCCCGGGCGCCCCGCGGCTGGTCCACGCAGCTCGCCACGCGGGTGTCACCACGGTCCTCGTGGCCACTCCCGAGCCCCCACGCCACCTCCTGCTTTTCGATCTGATCCCGGTGGTGACCGTGGCAGGCTGGCCAGCCGCGGCCCGGAGCCACTCGTGGGCGGGTCCGCTGGCCTCCGAGTCGGCCTCCTTCTACCTAGTGCCCGGCGACCCCCCGGAGCGGCAGGGCACCTCTGGCTGGCAGCTGTGCTTCGCCCGCCAGGAGCTGGCGCTCAAGGCGCGCGTGCCCGCGCCGCTGCTCCAGGCGCACGCGGCGGCGCAGGCGCTGCTGCGGCCGCTGGTGGCGGGGACCCGGGCGGGGGCGCCCTACCTCCTGCGGACTCTGCTTTACTGGGCGTGCGAGCGGCTCCCCGCGCTCTACCTGGCGCGGCCGGAAAACGCGGGCGCTTGCTGCCTCGGGCTGCTGGATGAGCTGAGCCGCGTGCTCGAGGCCGGGACGCTGCCCCACTACTTCCTGAGCGGCCGGAGGCTCCCTGCGGGCCACGGCGCCGCCGCCCTGCGCCGGGCGCTGGCCCAGCTCCGCGCGGACCCCGCGCAGGCCTTGCGGGCGGCGGTGGAGGAAGCCAAGGCGGCCCGCAAGGGGGGCGGGCTAGCGGGCGTGGGGCGCGGGACCCATTAAAGAGGCTGCTCCCCGGGGCCTGGACAGCGTCTCCCTCGGCGGGCACACGGGTCGTGGGCGCCCCGGCTCAAAGCCGCTCTTCCGAACGGTCTCCCCGCGTCCAGCTCTGCCCAAGTTGTCTAAATCCAGCTGGCGCCCCTTCCGTCCCTGAGTCTGAGTCTCCAGCGAACCGGAGGGATGCATTTGCCGACAAAATGCGGGAAAGAGCCGGCTCTTGGAAACCTGGTTCTGACCAGTTTGACTCAAACCAAAGCAGAGATGTTAAGGCCGGGTGGCAAAGCCACCCCAGCCCCCCACCCCACACACTTTCCTCATTTCATTTCTGTCCTCACTCCCCTCCCAGGCACTAGGGTCCCTTCACATTTTCTCAGTGTCTGCCATTCCCTCTCCCCCTTGTGCCCAGCCCCTCCACATCAGCCTCCCTGTCTCCTCCGCCCCGAGGCTTGCAGGCCTTGCCTCCACTCCGCCCGAGCCCGGCAGTCCCCACTCTGAGCTGCGGAGGAACCCTGGGGTTCCGCCCGCCCGGCTTCACCTCCCTCCTCGCCGGCGTCTCCGCCCCCTGCCCCGCCCCCGGGCCGGCTCGCCGAGGAGGGGGAGCCTCCGCCGCCGCCTGAGCTCCCCACAGCCGCCGCCGCTCGCCGCTCTGCCTGGTCCAGCCTCCGGGCCCAGTGCTCTGACTTTGCCGAACCGGGGCGCTCTGCAGAGACAGCATCACTCCCTCCTGGGGGTCCGGGGCGTCCAGGCCGGCGCTGGGGGGAACCTCGGCTTGCGGGAGACAGGGAGGGAGGAGCCGGAGCCCGAGGCACCCATCGCCCGGATCAACAGGACAGGACAGGTTGAGGGGCGTCGGGGAAAGGACAGGGTGTTAGTCCCAGGGAGGTCGCAGGAGGCTCTGGTGCGCTATGACTTATCAAGGGGCCGTTCGCGTTTGAGGAGTGTGGCGACGTGGGTGCACCCCTCTGGGGGGCCCGGTTAGGTTGGAGGGTGTGGGCTCTAAGCAGTGCGGGGTGTCCCTCTGGAAATTAAGGGGCGGGCGGAAAACAAACAAGAACGACCGACGCCCCATTGTTTGGGGCGACAGGGGGTTCTCCAGACAACCACCTGGCGTATGCGCTGGGAAAGCCAATTTGGGGGTGACTTCAAAAGGAGGGTAACAAGGTGAGGAAACGCTCCCAGCAGCTGGAGCCCTGTGCTACCAGAATGGGGGTGACAGAGAGGAAGAGCGTCATCCAGCCAGAGGGTCTGGGCACTCTCTCCCAGTGAGCCAGGACGTGTTTGTGGGGGAACCTGAAGAAAGTGGGAGGTCCGCTCCGTTTAGAGTAGAGCAGAGGGAAAAACCACCAGGGCTGGATCCTCTGACATTGACAGCAGCCCAGGGCGAGCTGATGTCCACCAAGCCAGGGACCTACAGCCTTTAGATTACAGGAGTAGGCTGGGCAGGAGCGGCCCCAGGTAGGGTGGGAAGAAGCCTGCGGACACTGAGCCCGGCGTGGACATACAGGAGGGTCTTGACTCAGGGAGAGAGAAGTGGGGAGAGAGGCGAGAAGGGGAGAGCCCTCTTTGAGGGACACAATTCACGGGTGAGGTCAGCCGAGTGGTGCACAGGCTGCCGAGCTAGAGCAGGGCCCAGGACTGGGGGAGCCGGTGGTTTGGGGGGACGTTCGGGGGTCTGGGCTTATCCTCAGGTCCTGTGGGTGGGGCGGTGGGCTGGGTCCTGAGCATGCCCTGGTGAGAGGGCTCCTTTGGGGGAGCCTGCTGGTTCGGGGGTGTCTCCTCCCGGGGCGCTATGGCGGCACTGGCCAGCAGCCTGATCCGACAGAAGCGGGAGGTCCGCGAGCCTGGGGGCAGCCGGCCCGTGTCGGCGCAGCGGCGCGTGTGTCCCCGCGGCACCAAGTCTCTCTGCCAGAAGCAGCTCCTCATCCTGCTGTCCAAGGTGCGACTGTGCGGGGGGCGGCCCACGCGACAGGACCGCGGCCCAGGTGAGTGTGGCCTGGGCGGGGTCCCGGGCCGGAAGTCCTTCTACCTGAGGCCGCGGGACCCTGGCCAACGCAGCCCGGGGAGGAGGGGGCGGCCCCAGAGTGGAAGAGGTGGGCCGGGGCGACGAGAGCTGCGGGGCTGTGCTTCGCTTCCTTCCTCTTTGCCGGGAAAGCCGAGTCTCCTTGCTTTCGAGGGCAGGGGGCCGTTTGAGGGGCCGAGCCTGGCGCCCAGCTCCTCGGCTCCTGCCTGGCCCCCTTCGCACAGGACTCCCCACCCCCACGGCTCTTCGCCTACGTGCGGGTTCTCGCGATTCTTTCCATCCGAAGCGGAGGGGCCCGGGGTTCTGGACGCTTGGGTCACCCCGAGGGCTTCTGCAGCCCTGGCTGCCCCGCCCCCGCCGCGGCTCTCCCGCCCCTGCACGCTTTCGCTCCGCTCCTCCTGGTCCAGCTCGCCTGGCCGGGAGCCAACCTCTCCAGCTCTCCCCCGGGTGTCCTTGCGGCTCCCTCGCAGCCAGCCCCCTCCGCACGCCCTCCTTCTGTGACCTGCGCTTCGGGAAGGGTGCTGGGCAGCCCCTCCCATTGCTCCGGTCCCACAGGCTCCGGGGACCCCCGGCCAGTGGGAACTCGCACACTGTTCGGGCTGAAGACCTGCACAGAGCTGGGGGGGGGGGGGGGCGTACCCCTCACGAGGGGGAGCAGGGAAATCGGCAGAGAGCAAACCACGGGAAAGGAGAGGTATGCGAGCTGGGATGTGACTCCCGTCCAGGTCCGACAGCTGGGGAGTCCCGCTGGCCTCGCTCCAGGCCGCTGCCGCTTCCCCGGGCCGGCCCTTGCGCCCTCCTCCCCCACCACCAACAGCAGGCAGTGGTACGGCCCGCAGCCCACCCTCTGAGAGGGGCCCGGCCCCCACGTGATGCAGCCTGCCTCTCCGTCTCCGGCCCTCTTCCTTTTCCTTCGTGTGCTCTGAATGTCCCCTGTCGCAGGCCAGTTACCTGGTTGAAGGGTAGAGGCTCAGCCTCAGGGAGAACTGGACCCTCGTGAGCCAGCCGACTGGCTGACAGACAGACAGACAGACAGACAGACAGACAGATGGGTCAGTGTCAGACAGGCCGGCGCCGTGCCCAAGCAAGGCCCGCGCCAAGCGAGCGGCAGCTGCAGCAGCAGCAGGTGCTGAGTCAGCGTCCGCCAAGCCCAGGCCCACCCCTGCCTCTAAGGGGGAGCCCCTTCCCTGTGGTCACCTTGCTGCTCACCCCGACATTTGCAAACACATTGCCCTGCGGCTCTGGCGCTGTCCGTTGCCTTTTATGTCTCTCTTCTACCTCCTCCCTGCCCCCTCCCCCAACTCTGGTGGGGAGAAGGAATTAAGCCATTTAAATAAATTTCAATAAATTAAGCTGACGCTCATGATTAGAGAAAGCGGAAGGGACCCACACCCCCAGCTTCCTCAGGAATCAGAGAGGTGGAAGGAAGCTTGCTTGGTAAGAGAGCTGGGGCCTGGGAACCCTCTTCTCTTCTCCCCTTCCTTCTTCCCTGTGATCCCGCCAAGCGTATGAATGTTTCTGGGAACAGAGATGTCATTTTCAAAGATGAATGTCTCTCTCTCTCTCCAGAGCCTCAGCTCAAAGGCATCGTCACCAAACTGTTCTGCCGCCAGGGTTTCTACCTCCAGGCGAATCCGGATGGGAGCATCCAGGGTACCTTGGAGGACAGCAGCTCCTTCAGTGAGAGGGGGAGCCCGCTGCTGGTGGGGGTGGGCTGAGGGGCCTACCACGCCCTCAGCGTCCTGAGCCCCAAGGGAGGAAGCGGGCTGGAACTGGGCGTGAGGCACCTGGGCACCGATGCTCTTTACTCCTCCAGCACATTTCAATCTGATCCCTGTGGGGCTCCGCGTGGTCACCATCCAGAGCACCAAGCTGGGCCACTACATGGCCATGAACGCTGAGGGGCTGCTGTACAGCTCGGTAAGACCATGCTGCCCAGCGGGTTCTGGGGACACCCTCAGCTACAGACAGGACTGGCACCCAGGACTCTGTCCTTTCTGTTTTGGCCGACCACTGCCTGGTCCAGCCCCCTCCTCTAGAGTGCACCCATCAGGCACACCCTGAAGAACGCAGGCTGTGCAGATGCCTGACTCGTTCAGTTCTTAGGCCTCACTTCTCCGCCTCTCACCTCCAAACTGTCTTTACCCTGGATAGGAAGCAGTAAGAGGTCGGAAATGAAGAGAGGTTGTATTTCCAGTGCCCCTAGAAATCTAGTTCGTGCCCCTGGGTGGCCCACCAGGCTCTTCCTTATTCTCTCTGTGCTCTGGTTTCCGCACTGGCTCAGTAGGTGCCGGCCTCCTTTCCAAAAAATGTATGGATTGTGTCTTGGCTGTTTCTTCCCAAGGGCTCCCTTCTGCCAGTAATACAGCTCTGTGTGTGTGTGTGTGTGTGTGTGTGTGTGTGCGCGCGCGCGCCCATGCCTCTTTCTGGATCTTTGTCTCCTCAGCCGCATTTCACAGCAGAGTGCCGCTTTAAGGAGTGCGTCTTTGAGAATTACTATGTCCTATATGCCTCCGCTCTCTACCGCCAGCGTCGTTCTGGCCGGGCCTGGTACCTGGGCCTGGACAAGGAGGGCCGGGTCATGAAGGGAAACCGAGTCAAGAAGACCAAGGCAGCTGCCCACTTTGTGCCCAAGCTCCTGGAGGGTGGGTATGGGCTCAGGAAAAGGTGGGTCATGTGGGAGGGCACTGACCTTGACATGCATACTTAGTGACACAGAACTCGGGCCACAGATGTTGACGAGGTGCTGTCAGGACGGCCAAGACTGGAAGGCTTTAGCCTTTGGGGGGTTGGGGTTCTCCAAGGGTGAGTGTAAGGGAAGGAAGGCCCCTCAGAGCTCTGACTCTCCCAGGCTCTGTGTATGCCTAATTCTCCTTCCCTGCTCCCCTCTCTCTCTCCTTCACAGTGGCCATGTACCGGGAGCCGTCTCTTCACAGTGTCCCTGAGACCTCCCCGTCCAGTCCCCCTGCTCCTTGAGATGCAGCCGTGAACTGGAGGCTCCCTGCCCTCAGGGAGCCCAGCACCACCATAGCCTGTCTCCTAGCCCTGCTCCAGGCCTTGCTCTCACCCTGCTGCCACACACATGCCCTGAGCAGCCAGGGCTCACCAGGTGCTGTACCCCGAGGGCACCCAGGGGCTGGCTGGGACCTCTGGAGCCACTGAGCTCTTAGATCCTGGGGCCCAGGAGAGGTTCCGAGACGGGGGTGCCTGAAACGATCCTGGCTGATCACTTCTCTCTTTCCACACTAACTCCTACCCCTTAAGAGACCCTCAGGTTTTCCTGAAATGGCGCCCCGGGGGTTCCAAAACTGACAAAGCAAGGGAACTAGTCCTATTCACCCTGGCTGAGCCAGTTTCTGAAGCCATGCACTTCTTTTTGTTGCCGTGAAGCCATAGCTTTGTATGTCAGTCTGCTGGCACTGCCCTGGGCTGGGCAGGTCTGACAGAGCTGAACTCCAGCCAGGGCCATTCCTGCGTTCTGTATTGGAGCTCAGACATGGCTCCTTTGAGCTTCTATCCTTGACCTAGATGTCCTCCCTGGTTTTAAAAAGAAAAGAGGCTGAATTTGAGCCTCTTAATGTAGCTATTGGCCTTGGTTTGAATCAGAACCAGTCTCAGGTCACCATAGGTTAAACCTTCTTATCCCAGAGACATCCAGTTCTAGCATGGTGTTCTAGACCTTTCAGGAGCCATTCTTCCCCCGAATCTCCGCTCTAGGACAGACCACGACACTAAGCCCCGCTTCCAGGATGGAACTGGGCCTGTGCAGCCATATTCCTGTGCTGGAGCGACTTCCAGACCCTCCCTCCCACTCTCTCTCTAATGATTATTCAAGGAGGAGCTTTGGCTAGGACTGAGCTGTGGTTCCTTAGGCACTAATGCTTCTCAGCTGTGCTTGGTGGCCCGTGCCTGTATTTCAGCACCTGGAAGACTGAGGCAGGAGGATTTTTGAATTGGAGGCCGTCCTGGGCTTCAGTGGCAAAACCCTGTCTCAAAAGCCGGCACACACACACACTCACACAGAGAGAGCACTTAAGACTCAATACTGAATGAATCAAGAACCACTTCATGGTTTTCCTAGATAATTTTCTTAAAATCTTCCCTCTAGAACCCTAACTGTACTTTTACATGGTTTCTAGTTTCAGCATTCCAACTGGGGTTCTGCCAGGGAAACAAGAGTCTGGGGAAGGCCCAGGAATCCTGGAAATGTATGCCTGATACCTGGCTCACAGTAGAGGAGCCGAGAGGTGGGAATTGCCCTGGTGTGACTGAACCCGTGTCTGATTTAGGGAGACATGAACACTTAGCTACCTCAGCAGGAATTCCTTCCCTTTTAAAGCTGAGGTCCTTCGCGGGGTTCGGTGTACATCTGTGAGGCCACAGAAGGAGAACGGGGAATAAAAGGCTCGCCCAACTACACAGTGAGCTCGAGGCCAGCCTGGGCTATGTGAGAGCCTGTCTCAACAGAAAGCCGAGGTCTGCGACGACATTAACTCTACGATAAAGAAAGGACAAAAAGGACACAGCCTTGACTCCCTCTCAGCGACGAGACCCCGACTCAGCAATAAATCCAACTTCTCCCCGCTACAGGTCAGGCCTAGGAAATGAGGGCCCCTTGGGCTCCCAGACCTCGTTTGTCCCCAGAGCTCTAACTAAATAGAATTTACTTTACCTTACAGCTTATAACCTCAGCTGGGTTTTAAGTACCCAAAAAAGGACCTGAAAATGGGGGAAGCCACGGGGAACCTCTAATAAAGTAGGGGGTAGATTCCTAGCCTAGCAAACGTAGGCGGAAACGGCTGCGGAGGTCGGAAGGGAGGAGGGCGAGTGCTCAAAAGCACTCAGGCCCTGTAACTTCTGGCTTGTCGCAAGAGACGCCCCCTCCCTCCCACGAACCCCGCTCAGGCTCCGCCCGTCTCCTGGCTCCGCTCGGCGGGGGGTGGGGGACCGGGTCTCCTCGTCACGCTTTCTCTAATTAAAGATGATTTCTACAGCCCGAGTGTTGTGACTTTGGTGAGTGGAGGGCGCCGCCAGTCGCTCCGGGCGGGACCAGGGCCCCGGGGCGGGGCGGGTGGGCTGGCGGCTGCCCCCGGACAACAGGTGCACATTCCCGGGCGCCTCGTCACTTCCCGGGCTGGCGGCCTCGCCGCAATCCGGGCCGAGTCGGCGAGCCGAGCGCCCGGGCCATGACCGTAGGGGCACTGCTGCTGCTGCTGGGGGTGCTCGGGGCGCCCCTCGCCCCGGGTAAGTCGGTTCGGGCCCCGAAGAGGCAGTGACGGGCCGAGGTCGCCGCCGGTCCCCCCGGAGCGTCACTCAGCGCTTTCCTTCCAGGCGCCCGCGGCTCGGAAGCCGAAGGCCAACTGCGAGAGAAACTTTTCTCGGGCTACGACAGCTCGGTGCGGCCGGCGCGGGAGGTGGGCGACCGCGTGGCGGTCAGCGTGGGCCTCACCCTGGCGCAGCTCATCAGCCTGGTGAGCGCGCGCGGCGCGGGGAGGGCGCGGGCGGGCGGGCACCGGCGGGCTGTGCGGGGAGACGGACCGGCCTCTGGCGGAGATTGACTAAAGATCGGGCCAATGGACGAGCTCGTGGGCTCCGCAAACCCGCCTGGGGGCGGAGTCCGAGGCGGGGCCGTGAGAGCCCAGCGGGGCCCGGCACGGCCTGGCGTGCGGCGGCGAACAGCCCTGGGCGGAGATTCAGGGTCGGGCGGACAAGACTCTGGGCGTGGCCAGTGACTTGGCAGGAGATAAAGGCCGGGGGAGCAGGCGGCGGGATCTGTTTCCAGGCTGGCGCGGGTGGAGGAAAGGCTCCTGCGGGAAAGGGCCTCTTCCCACTTCATTTCATTTCTGCCTTCAAAATTTTCCCTCGTAGAACGAGAAGGATGAAGAAATGAGCACAAAGGTGTACTTAGACCTGGTATGGAGACCCCGCGGGTTAGGGAAGGGCATCTGCCGCCTTTAAATTACTCTCTTGGAATGCCCAGCCCCGTGAGATTGTGTGTGTGTGTGTGTGTGTGTGTGTGTGTGTGTGTGTGTGTGTGTGTGTGACTTCATAAAGCACATATATAACAACCCACGCGGAAGCCTTGATAAACAATTATTTAAAACACAAGTTTGGGGGGTCACTAATTTGAAATCCCATCCATTAAAGGGTCGTGAACTGCGGTTTGAAAATCAAACTGGCTAATGCATCTCTTCAGTTTTCTTTTTTTAATTATTTTATGTGGGTGAGTGTTGTGCCTGCATATGTCTGTGAACCACATGCCTGTCTGGTGCCCGTGGAGGTCAGAAGAGGGTGCCTGATCTCCTGGAACTGGAGCTACAGATGGTTGTGGCTTCCCTGTGGGTGCCGGGAATCCAACATGGGTCCTCTGGACGAGCAGCCAGCGCCCTTAACCACTGAGCCGTCTCTCCGGACCACCCCCCCCCTCCGGTTTTAGAGCCTGACAAAATAGAGCTCAGTGCGGGGGGCGGGGGGAAGCTAGTTGACGTGAATCCCGGAGAAGGAAGGCAGAGCCGGAACCCTTCCGCTTGCCCCACGTCAGGCCGGAGCTAACCCCCCCTTCCCAGCATCTCCCTGGCGCAGCCCTTTAGCGTCTGCTTCCCTAGGAGTGGACAGACTACAGGTTAAGCTGGGACCCGGCAGAACACGATGGCGTCCAGTCTCTCCGCGTGGCTGCTGAGTCCGTCTGGCAACCCGACGTGGTGCTGCTGAACAAGTAGGGGTCTTTCCACAGCCGTGCGGGTTGAGGGAGCCATGGGGGGAGGGGGCGGGTTGAGGGAGCCATGGGGGGGCGGGTGTCCGGGGGGCCGGTGCAGATCCCACACGGAGAGGACCCTTCCACGCAGCAATGACGGAAACTTCGACGTTGCCCTGGACATTAACGTCGTGGTATCCTCCGAGGGCTCAGTGCGCTGGCAACCCCCTGGCCTGTACCGCAGCAGCTGCAGTATCCAGGTTCCCCAGGCTTGTCTGTTCTCAGCCGGCCTCGCTCCCCAGCTGCTTCCAGTCCCGAGCCTAATTCCTCCCTCCCCTCTTGATTGCCCTGACCTTCCGTTGCCCTACGCACTTTCTTTGGTTTCCGTGGTCCTCCGCCATTTCTCTGGCGGCCCCTTCTCCTTTGTAACCCGAATCCAACGGCCTCCCTATCTTCCCTCATCCTAACCCACTCTCTGACGGCTCCAGCGTCTTCCCCTCCACCCAGGTCACCTACTTCCCCTTCGACTGGCAGAACTGCACCATGGTGTTCAGTTCCTACAGCTACGACAGCTCCGAAGTCAGCCTGAAGACGGGCCTAGGTCCTGACGGCCAGGAGACACATGAAATCTACATTCATGAAGGCACCTTCATTGGTGCGTGGGCATGGTGCTCACACCCCAGGCTGAGAAGCAGGTCTTGTTCTGGATGCTTAGTGTCACCTGGTGGGGTCAGCGAGGTGGGGATGACTGTCAACACTGCAAATACGGTGGACACCGAAGCCAAGTGTGGTGGCTTGAGCCAGCCTTTAATGTCAGCACTTGGTCTATCCAAGGCCAGCCTAGACTACATTGGAGACCCTGATTCTTGAAACACCACCCACAGGGAAGGTGACACGGCCCAGTGGTAAAAGCTCTTGAAGTGTAAACCTGACACCCTGAATCCAATCCCAGGAATTTACAGGGGAAGAAGAGAACTGAGAACTCCCCAAACTGTCCTCACTGTCCTCTAACCTTCAGTTCACATTGCAGCACACACACACACACAATAACAACAACAAAGAGACAAGAAACATGGCAGCTGAGAGGTTCATTAGCTCTGGGCTGCCTGGTGTGGCACGACTAGGGCAGCCGCCACACCTGTGTTTGCTTCCTCTGCCTCCTCCAGAGAACGGCCAATGGGAGATTATCCACAAACCGTCCAGGTTAATCCAGCTTCCAGGGGATCCTAGAGGAGGGAAGGAAGGGCTCCGAGAGGAAGTTATCTTCTGCCTCATTATCCGACGAAAGCCTCTCTTCTACCTGGTCAACGTCATCGCCCCATGCGTCCTCATCACTCTCCTGGCCATCTTTGTCTTCTACCTCCCACCGGATGCAGGTAAGCGGCCAGGCGGCCCAGCTCTCCGGGTCATTGGCTTCTTCCTTCTCACCTTTAGTTCAGGTTAGTTTTTGTTTTTTAAGATGTGTGTGTGTGTGTGTGTGTGTGTGTACACTCACAAATGCCCATGAAGGTCAGAAGTGAGTCCCTGGACTCTTTGCAGCTGGAGTTGGAACTGTGAGCCTCCTGAGGTGGACACTGGGATCTGAACTCCAGTCCTGGGATAGAGCAGTGGCCTAGTTTGCTTTTCTGTAGCTTTGATAAAAGACCAACCAAAACCAACTTAGGGGTAGAAAAGGTTTTCTTTGGCTCGCGGATCACAGCTCAACCCTGAGGTAAGCCAAGGCTGGAGCTCAAGGCAGGAGGGGAAGCACAGACCCTGAAGGGGCGCTGCCCACTGGCTGGCTCAGTGCCCACTGGCTGGCTCAGCCGCTTGCTTTGTGTGAGCCAGGACTTACCCAGGACTGGGACACTGCTCCTAGCGGCCTGGGCTACATCAATTAGCAATTAAGGAAATGTCCCCTACACACCCACAGGCTAGTCCACTGAGGTCATCCCTTAGCTGACGATTCTTTTCCAGGCAAGTGGACAAACGGAAGCTAATCCTGACAAGTGTTAGGTGTTCTTAGCCATCTCTCTAGTCCCCAGGTTCAGTTTTCCTGCTGTTTCAAACTATCATGGCTCGGATATCAGCATGCACAATTAGACCCAACTATGGGCTCTGCACCTACTCCTCCACTGGCTTCTCCTCACCCAGTAACATTTTCACCCTTCCTTTAGAGTCCAAGCCTCCCATTCATGGAGCTCCCACGTCTGTGACAAACCAGATTCCAGACTAAGCCAACTCTTCTGTTTCCTGTCCTTAGCAAAGCACCTTCCTCCTACCTTCCAGGCACCAGCCGGTGCTTTCGCTGGCTGTCTCCCTGGGAAACGCCACTTGACTTTTTCTCTGTAAGGAAGTACAGTATAGCAGGAGGGTTAACCTGGCCAGGTTTCACGATAACCGTGTCAGTTGCTATCCTGCCGCACAGGATTATTCTGAAGATTGACTGGGTTAATAAGTCTATACCTGGCACCTATGTAAATGTGCTTTTTATTGTTTTTGTACTTTTGAGCAATTGATGTACAGTAATACAATTGAATTCTATGTGCAAATTCTAATCTTTCCAATAACCTTTCAGACAAGTGCCAAATTGTCATTCCCTTTATAGAGAAGGGTAAAGAGGCTGAGAGAGTTAATTTATTTGTCTGGCATCACACTCAGGTCAGGACCTCTGGAATTCAAAACGTGTTTTCTTCCCTGCACTTGGGAGGCTGAGGCAGGACTGTTGCCGAGAGTCTGACGCCAGTGAGTGTGAGGTCACTCGGAGCTTCGTAAGCAAGACCCTGCTCAAAAGAAAAATCCAAAACCCAAAGCGAGCAAATATGAAAACAGACACTGACTTCCTCACCTCTGGACCCAGTCCTCTATTCAGAAAGGGAGAGAGATGCGGTGCAAGCGCACGTTTCCAGGTCCTGTGCGATGGCTCAGTGGGCGAGATGCTTGCTACCCAGCTCGAGAGCCTGATAGGAGACTCTCAGTTTGTTCTTGGACACCTCTCGGTGCTCTGTGATAGTCTCTGTTCACACCCCTGCCCCCACACACATTAAAAAGAACCCGCTTACAGTCACTTCCTTCCAGAAGTGACTGTTGGAACTGAAGGGCAATGTTGGAACGCACGATTATGGGACCAAAATAGAGTGTACTGTCCGGCTTATTCACCCCAGTGCCTCTCATGAAGTCTGTAAGGCCTCTTGTGTGACACAGGAAGACTCAGCCACTTTGTTTGCTGTTTTATTTTTAGATTCCTCAAATTGCTGTTATTGAAAAAGCTACGGAGATTGGCCTATTCACTCATGCAACTATGTCTGTGGAGTTTCTGTGATATGCTAGGCACTGAAGTGTATCAGGGAATTAAACTAATAGACTCGCATTGAGAATGTAGCTTAAAGGCAGAGTGCTAAAACAGGTATAGGTGCAGCTAGTCTTATGTTCATGAAGCCCTGGATTCTACCCCTAGCACCAGGGGAGGGGAGAGTGGCAGGGGATGTGGTTTAGTTGCCAAAGTGATTACCTAGTATGCATGCATGAAGGCCTGAGCTCAGTCTCCAGAACACATCTACAAACAAACAAGTAAATAAAATCACTGACCTTCCTTGGCATATGTTCTAGTGGGGAAGACAGTCAAAAACTGCTGTCTGCCATCACATATTAGAAAAGAACACTGGGCAGCTTTGGTTCAAGGCCAGCCTGGTCTATAAAGTGAGTCCAGGACAGCCAGGGCTGCACAGAGAAACCTTGTCTCCAAGGGAAAAAAAGGAAAACAAAAAGCTGTTTCTGTTTTGTTTTGTTTTTCTAGATCCAGTTTCTCTGTGTAGTCCTGGAACTCAGTTTGTAGATAGGGCTGGCCTTTAACCCAGAGATCTGCCTGCCTCTGAATCCTGAGTGCTGGGATTAGAGGTGTGTGCCACCACACCCAGTTTCTGGACATTCTAAAGAGATTAAACAGAAAGCGTTTTTGAAACACTAAATGCAATGGACTCCTGTAATAACAGCACTCGGAGTTCTAGGCTAGCCTCTGCAACATAGGGGCTTGCAGGTTACCGTCAGCTACAACGTGAGGTCCTGTCTCAAAGGGGCTGGGGTGTAGCCAACACAGGAGAGTGTTTGCCTACCACGCATGACACCTTCGACCCATGTCACAGAATGAACTGCACACAGGAGAGAAGCTCTGTAATCCTAGCACTTGGGATGGGAATGAAGACAGGAGGGTCAGAAGTTCACGGTCACCCTGTGTGAGCTCAAGGCCAGCCTTCCCCCAAAACAAACAGAGCTAGACAGGGGGCTCAGCTGCTTAAGACACTCCCTGCCAGGACGGAGGGCCTGAGTCTGATCCCCGGAACCTCCATGAGATAGCAGGAGAGAATGGACTCTTGCAAGTTGTGTGCCATGGCATTTGTCCCCACACACACATACATACATGCTTACGATGCAAACACAAAGTTCAAATGTGATCAAACAAACAAGAACATCAAATGAGAACGGGGCCAGGGGCTGCATGGCTTTTCTGATTCAGGGTCTGATGTATTCCAGAGAATGCTACCTACATTCACAGAATAGGGAGTTTAAAAAAAAAACTAGGGAAGGAGGATGAGGGAGATGGCCCAATGGTTTAGAACACTGGCCTGCTTTTCTAGAGGAACCGGGTTCAACTCCCAGACGCCCACGTGGCAGCTCGCACCTGTTGTAACTTCAGCTCCAGGGTTCCTGCCGCTCTCACACAGACGTGTGCAGGCGAAACACCAGTGCACATAAAAATAAACAATTTTTAATTAGGGAAGGTGGGCATGGTGATGCAGAGTCCATCATTCCAACACTTGGGAGCCTGAGGCAGGGGCTCACCTTAAGTTTGAGGCCAGTCTGGAATACGCATAGTCAGTAAGTTCCAGCCCAGCCTGACTACCATGTAAAGCCCTGTCTCAAAAGAAGAATACAAGTGCGGTGGCACAAGCCTTTAATACCAGCACGAGAGCCATGGGTTCAAGAGCAATCTGAGCTATACAAAAAAATTATACATCTCAAAAACAACACAAAAGGTGCTGCTTGGCACGAAATATGGCACTGTAGGATGCTACCTGAAGCTAAGCACGGTGGCACATGCCTTCACTCCCAGCTCCCCACGTCACACCCCCTGCCACCAGGCAGGGGCAGGTCGATCTCCAAATTCAAGGCTGCTCTGGTCTCCACACCAGCCAAGGCTACATAGTGAGACCGTGTGTGTGTGTGTGTGTGTGTGTGTAGCAGCAGCAGCAGCAGCAGCCAGCTTCAGCACGGATCAGGGGCAAAGCATTAGGGGGATCCCTAGAGCTCCCTGGCCTGCCCAGCTAGTTGATAAGGCCTCCAGGTCCAGTGAGAGACCCTGATGGAGGGTAATGACAGAAGACACAGAATATCAGCCACTGTCTCCCCTTCCCGCCCTCCCAGGAGAGATGATATACAGCATGCACGCACACACACATTAATAAAAACAGCTTTTGAAAACAAAAACAGGGAGAAAGAAAACATAGTAAATTCGGCGGTAAGGGGATCAGACCAGGAAGCTAATGACAAAGGCTTCTAGGCCACAGCAGGAGCAGCTGCGCATGCCTGTGCGTGCGCGTTTATCTCATTTTAAGGCAGGGTTTCGTGTAGCCCAGGCTAGACTTCAAGTCAATATGTAGTTGAAGTTGGCTAACATTGAACTGACCCTCCTGCCCTACTACCACAGTGCTAGCACTGGTGTGGTGCTAGGCCTAACTTGCTGTGTAGGTTAGTAAGGTAATAACATATAGCCCAGCCTCCTTTAAAAACCTTTCTGGTACTGAGAATCGAATCCAGGGTCTTAAGCATGAAAACAAGGCTGGCACTCTTCCAGCTCATTAGTATGTGTGGTCCTGCCCAGCCTTCTGTTTGCCTAAGTCGTCCAGGTTGCTCTTGAATTCATTCTGTGGCCCAGAAGCAGGCTTTTAGCCTGCAATGCTCCTGTCTCAGCCTTGGGAGTAGCTGGGACTCAGACGGCAGAGGCCTGGCTGGGCAACAGCCCTCACGGTGAGTAAATCGGCTTGCAGACTTGTTGAGTTTGGGGTTAGACGTACAGCAGGAAAGCTGAACAGGCACTTGGATGCTCAGAGGCAGTCCGTGCTGGGGGAACACAGGCAGGCCAGATGGGGGAACAAATGCAGACAAATGGTTTTTCCAAAAGCCTGCCCTCAGGTGGAGCCGTGAGAGGTGATTCTGCCACAGAGGTTTCCTTCTGGTAAAGGTGTGGTCACAGACGCCTTTAAGCCTGGCACTCAGGTTACTGGAGGAGGCAGAGGCAACAGACTGCTGTGAGTTTGAGGCCAGCCTGGGCTCCATGGCAAGTCCCAGGACAGCCAGGGTCCTTGCCTCAATAAAATAGAATGTTAAGAAAAGATCAATCCTGGCTTTCTCCCCACCTTTCAAGGAGAGAAGATGGGGCTCTCCATCTTCGCCCTGCTCACGCTCACCGTGTTCCTGCTGCTGCTGGCAGACAAAGTGCCAGAGACGTCCCTGGCAGTCCCCATCATCATCAAGTACCTCATGTTCACCATGGTCCTCGTCACCTTCTCGGTGATCCTGAGCGTCGTGGTTCTCAACCTGCACCATCGCTCACCCCACACCCACCAGATGCCCTTCTGGGTCCGCCAGGTAGGACAGAGCTCCTCCTCCAGCCTGTCTTCAATCCCCATCTTACCATCAACCAGGTGCGGGAAAGGGTGAGGCCGGCCTGGGTTACACAGTAAGATCCTGTCTGCAAGTGACAGGAAGAATAAACAAAGGAAGGAAAAGCATCCTTGCATTTGGTTTTATGTCCACATGCTGCCCCTCCTCCCACCAGCCTGGACTTGACTTTCAGATTTTGAGGAGCACTACAGCTGGCTGGCACAGTGTTGAAGGGCCAAGCCTGCTGGGTGGTGAGGCATCGCAGTTTGTTTTACCTCTCCATCCTCATTTCACAGACCCAACATGCTCTTCATCCATTCGGCTCACTTAGAGGCCCAGGGAAACGTTCTCAGGGGCAGATGCCATCAGTTTCTCAGGGTGCTCCCAGCCGGTTAAAGAACTTTTTTCTTTCTGAGACAGGTTTTCTCTGTATAGTCTTGGCTGTTCTGGAACTGGCTCTGTAGACCCGGCTGGCCTCAAACACAAAGATCCACCTGCCTCCGCCTCCTGTGATTATAGGTGTGTGCCACCATGCCTGGCCTAAAAGAATTCTTTTAAAATGTGTGTGTGTGTGTGTGTGTGTGTGTGTGTGTGTGTGTGTGTGTGTGCGCGCGCACATGTGTGTATGTGGGTCTAGCATACATACATTGCCTGAATGTATGTATATACACTACATGTGTGCTTGGTCCCTGAGGCCAGAGTATCAGATGCCCCGGAACTGGACTTACATATGGTTGAGCCACCATATGGTGCTGGAAACCAAACCAGGGTCCTCTGGAAGAGCAGCCAGTGCTCTTAGCCGCTGAGCCATCTCTCCAGCCCTTGGGCTGTGCAGTCGCGGCTCTGTCAGTGCAGCGCAGTGAGACCATGAGCGCACAAGCAGGGGACGAATGCCTGGCGCAGGACCGGTTAGCTGCTTTCTTCGGGGTCTGAGGGCATGGAAGCCCTCTGCAGTGTGCCGCTTCTACTCTAGATCTTCATTCACAAGCTCCCTCCGTACCTGGGTCTGAAGAGACCCAAACCCGAGAGAGACCAGCTGCCCGAACCGCATCACTCTTTTCCTCCAAGAAGTGGCTGGGGCCGAGGAACTGATGAATATTTCATCCGGAAGCCTCCAAGTGATTTTCTTTTCCCTAAACTTAACAGGTAAGACCTACACTCACCGCTCGCACTTGGACAAGGGAGAACTACAGCTCCCAGAAGACAGTGGAAGCTAGTGTGGTCTAGCATCATGGGAGTTGTAGTAGCCCTGAGACTGCTTGCGTTGCGAGAAAGTGGCATTTTAAAGCCTAAAGAGCCAGAAACCTGCAAAAGTCAGGAGAGGTCGGTGCTGCCGGGGAGATGCAGGACTCCCTCGGGTTGGAGGGCTGCCAGGTGACTGGAGGGCCAGCTGGCGCAGGGTGCTGGAACTGCTCGCTCTCTGAACCCCGCGCGCGGCCAAACAGTCCCTGCCACACAGGTTTCAGCCTGAACCATCTGGCCCGGACCTGCGACGGCTTATCGATGGCCCGACGCGGGCTGCAGGTCTGCCTCAGGAGCTACGTGAGGTCATTTCTTCAATCAGCTACATGGCCCGACAGCTGCAGGAACAGGAGGACCACGACGCGGTAAGCCCCCGAGGCCGAAGCCCGCAGGTCCCGGGACCTTGGCTCCGCCCCTGGCAGCCGCTTCCGCTCCTGCTCGGGAAGGCGCTTTCTGGCTGGGGCTTGTGCTAGCTGATGCTGCTCGTGCTTGCCTTTCCTCAGGCCCCCGGTAGCGGGACCGTGGCGGGAAACTGTGAGGGCGGGCGTCCCAGGGCTCCCGACCTGGGGCGTCTGTGATCTTTTTCTGCCTACCCTCAGCTGAAGGAGGACTGGCAGTTCGTGGCCATGGTTGTGGACCGTCTTTTCCTGTGGACCTTCATCGTTTTCACCAGCGTCGGGACCCTGGTCATTTTCTTAGATGCCACGTACCATTTGCCCCCTTCCGAACCTTTTTCTTGAGGACCCGAGGGCCATTTTTGGCCAGGAGTTGCAGGTGTCCTGGGGCTGTGTGACGCTTGACTCCTGTGGGAACCTAGTTTCTGGGAAGCCGCTGAAGTGGGCCTGGGGGCCGGCAAGGGTGTCTTGGACACACTGGAAATGCCCTTCTACTTAGGGTTTTGTTCTTCTGGGGTTTTGTTGTTTCTGAGACAGAGTCTCACTCTCTGGCCCAGGCTAGCCTGAACTATGCTGTCCAGGCTTGCCTCAAATTCCCAGGAATGTCACTTCCTTAGTTTCCCACGTGTTGGGAGCCAGCGCATTTGGATTTGGATCTTGAAGCTACACTCAGGGTCACAGATTAGATCTCTAATGCAATAGAACCGTAAGCGGCTAGTAGATTGTAAGCCTTTTGAGGACAGGAAATGTGGTGGTGACTGTAACGTCCCAGCAATGCACAAGGGGCCTAGCCCGTAAGTTCGTAACATTTGTTGAATCTTCAACAGAGGGGAAAATTGGGGGGGAAGGAAATATCTAGAATACTGCCTGCAACTCATGTTGTGATTAACCGTTTCTATTTTTAACTTTCTATCATTTTTTTTTTTGTAATGATTCCCACCTTTAGACTGAAAAAAAATTTTCTAAAAAGATCTTATTAAGCCAGGCATGGTGTCTCCTTCTTAGAAGACCAGCGTTGAAGGGCCGAGAGGATTACTGTGGGTTTGCAGCAAGGCAACTATAGAGCAAGCCCTTGTCTCATACAAACCACCTTATTCAAGTTCCAGCTTTGGCACACAAACCCCTAAATGACTCAGACTGTTTCTGTCCGTAAAATAAAGCAGATAGTGGTATATACTCATAGAGGACTCCAAACAATGTATGTCAGCTTTCAAACTGGTTGGGTGTTTTGTTGTTTTGTTTTATTTGCCCGTGTTCTTGGGCTGCACATCATTCATCGGTTTGCTTTAGAGTAGCTGGAATTGAACCCAGGGCCTTGTGTACAGTAGGCAAGTGCTCTACCCCTGAGCTGCTTATTTACCTTTATGTTTCCTTCATATTTTTTCCTCCTTTTTTCTAAGACAGGGTCTCTCTGTGTAGCCCTGGCTGTCCTGGACTCAGTTTGTAAGACCAGGCTGGCTTTGAACTCACAGAGACCCACCTGCCTTTGCCTCCCAGAGTGCTGGAATTACAGGTGTGTATCACTGCGCCCTGCTAATATTTGGTTTTTCTTGAGATGGTGTCTTGATAGTCCAGGCTGACTGAACTCACTACAGAGCTAAGCACAACCTTGACCTCATGATACTTTGCCATATGCTACCAAGCTTGGGTTTTGTTGTTTTGTTTTAGAGAAGAGGGTCTCAGTAAGTTGTTCAGTCTGCCCTTCAACTATCTTGCCTTTGAAGTAGCTAAGATTACAGGTACACAGCACCATGCTGGGTTGTTGGTTGGTTGGTTGGTTGGTTGGTTGGTTGGTTTTTGTTTGTTTGCTTGCTTGCTTGGTTTGCTTTGTTTTGTTTTGCTTTTGAGACAGTGAGACAGGGTCTCACTATGTAGCCCTAGCTAGCTTAGAACTTGTCATGTAGACCAGGTTGGCCTCAAACTCCACTTGGTTCTGCTTCCTGAGTAATGGGATTAAAGGTGTGTAATTTTACATTTGAATTAAGGGCTGGAGAGAGATGGTTCTAAGGTTAAGATCATTGGCTGCTCTTCTAGAGAACCAGGGTTTGATTCCCAGCATCCACGTGGGTAACTCCAGTCCCAGGGGATCCAACACCCTCTTTCTAGCCTCCTCTGGCACTGTACATGTGTGGTACACAGACCTACATACAAGCAAAACACTCACACACATAAAATTAAAGGAAAAAAGTATTTGAAGCATAGTACCTTTAAAACTTGTGTATTTCACAGACATTTGTATCTCTGGCTTCTCTTGAAAACATTTAACAAGCTACAGTGACACTAGAGCTGCTACCGCTGTTGACAGAGGCTTGCCAGAGCTGTCAGTGGCTGCCCACTCTGGTCAGGGCCCTTAGTCCAGACAAGCTGCCATCTGCCTGACCAGCCTCACTCATGTTCCCAGCTATTTCTCCATAACATGAGAGGCTGCCCAGCAGGCAAGATGAAGGCGATGAGGAGACAGGAGTGGAAGGAGAGCTATTATGGCCATGACAACATTTCTGCCCCAGTGTACCTTCAAACTTGGAGTTGGTTTAAGGCAAAGGTTATTCTGGGACACAGAAATCTTGAATTGTACTCACTGAGGATGTATCTAAAAGTGTTGGGGGGAGGTACTGCATTTTTGAGGAAGGGGCCTTGTGAAGCCCAAGCTAACCTGGAACTCTGTGTAGCTGAGGATGACCCTGAATTTCTGACCCTCTAGCCTTCACCTCCTACGTGCTTTCATTAGAGGTGTGTGCCATCGTGTTGGGCTGAGAACCAAACCCAGGGTCTCCCGCATTCTGGGCAAGCCCTCCCTGGACAGAGCCAGTGACAGAGTTCACGCCTCCACCTGGAGGTCAAAGGGAGCTGCAGCCAGGCAGCCACAGTGAAATGCTGGAGCCTCAGATCTTGGGAAGGACAGTGCCCCCAACCCACCAGCCACACAAATAACCGCACCTGGCATCCCACTGTGAGCAGAGTCCGTTTGTCTCGTTGGTTTATTGGCCTAGAGATTGGGAACACACACAAATCTGGAGCTAAATATTGGTCAGTTTCTCTAAGTCTGGGTTCTCGCTACGTGGAGCTAGAGTCTGCAGAGGCCTAAGTCTTGCTGTGGCACGGAAGCAGCAGCCTTCCACTCTATCCCTTCTTCCCAGGGACACGGGGTAAGAGGGCACAGATTGACAAGACTTGATCATCTCCAAACGACAAAATTGCAAAACCCCAAATTCCCAACACCTGAAACTCACAATATTGAAGCCTTCCAGCTCAAATACATATTTTTAAGTTTCTGCTTTGCCACAACTTTGTTGCCAAATTCTAGAAGCTATTCTCCTTACCCATATTAAAGCAAAACAAAACAAACAACAACAAAAAAAAAAAACCACTTATAATCTCAAACATTCCATATTTCTGGAATTTTTATCTTTTCTGAAATTCAAATCCCCGGGTCCATTTTCAGCCCTTCTCCTCTCCTGCCTTCCTCAGAGAAGTGCAGGTGAATGGGAGGGACTGCAGTCGTATCTGCCACTGCCCTCAGGCCTTCCTCAGTCTCTCCTGTGGTTCCACTGTATATATAGATATATTATATATATATATATATATATATAATTTGTGTGTATATATATATATGTATTCTTTATTATGTATTTTTTTGCAGTTTTTCTAAAGTGCCAGAAACAAGATTTATGGGAATTTTTAGTGATTTTTTTTTCTTTTTATCTTTTTTTTTTTTTTTTCATTTTTTCCTGTTTGAAACTTTTTACCCCTTAAAAACTGGAACTTGGTACATTCAGTAGGAAATTCTTCACTCAGGCTGTGGCCAAGACCAAGAAAAGTGCAAAGAGACAGAGGAGGACTAGAGTGACCCCTCCGTGGTTAACATTCAGGAAGCCTGTCAAAAACCTCCCCCTCCTTATACCAGGAGGCTAGGAGGGGGCAGGAAGACGCTCCTGGCCTTCCCAAGCTCACCTCCCTCCAAAAGCCATGATCTTGCCCTCTCCACAGCTACTCAGAGGGCAGCCATCTTGGCCCCAGAAAACAGTAGCTGAGAGAAAGACTGTCATTTGATTAAAACAGTCTTTCTCCTTTTTAAAGTTATACTCCTCTAATTCCCACATCAGATTTGCTCCCCCAAACTGGCTCTCCCCTTGTGAGCTTTTTTTTTTTTTGGTGGGAGAAGGGAGGTGGGTAGTATGGAAAATACCCATCAATCACACATCTGGGAGGCCCTATTTTCAAAGAGAATTAGGAAGAAACATTTCCTCATCTTCCCCACTGGAAGGAAACACAGGACCCCTGACCAGGGTTAACTAGTGCAAATCAGGGGTTAGGGACTACTTAAAATCCCTGCACCCCATCCCGAGGCTGGGATCTTTGGGTGTGGGGAACTGAGTCAAAGATGGGGTATAAGGTGCTATTTTGGAGGCAAAAGTTGGTGGGGATACCCCAAAGCCCACCAGAAGAGGAGGATGGTTCCCTCAAAACCATCTGGAGTGATTGCTGAGGACAGTGACAACAGAGGACACAGGGCAAAGGTAAGGATGGAAGGCTCTGTGCAAATCTGGGGCTAACCCACACATCAAACCCCCATCAATTTTCTGGCTATTTGGTCTAATCTAGGAGAAACCATAATGAGGAGTTGGCAGGGAGAAAGTAGATTCTCTACTCTATGGACTGCTTCATACCTGGTGCTCAAAGTTGGTTTAGCTCCAATGAAGCCACATATAAAGGCTGGAAGAGATAGGATCTATTCACCTCTTTTGTCTTGGAAGAATCTGGAGTCACTGGATTTGAGGGTAAAGGTAGGGCCCAAGATTTCCCTGCCCTGTACTGAAGAAGTGCTCAGCTGTAGGACACCTCCCAACTCCTTTTGACCTGGAGTGGGTTAGGCCATCTCCAGAGTCTAGGAGCACAGGAAGGAAGATGGAAGATCCAAAGGCATGGAAGCCAAGGAAAGCACGGCATCGTAACAGGAAGAAAACAAGGACAGAGAAACCCACCCTTGGGAAGAACGGAATCCAAAGCCATGCTTCCAGGCTGGTGGGTCAGATTATCACAATGGTCTGGTCCAGGCCCTGGGCCACAAAGAATGGAATGTGCTGGGAAGCATCTGGGAAGGGCTTAGAGGAAGCGTCAGAACAGCAGGCGTCATTAGGTTAGAGAGGTTCCCCCTAGGCTTAGATCAGGGGAGCGGGTTAGACATTCAGAGCTGGTGGGGCTGTAAGTAGAGATTCAGATAGGTATATTGCTCAGTTGCCCCAAGGGCTGGAGAAGGGATGGGAGCTGGCTCTTCCCCTCACAGGGGCCGTTCCCTGGAGAAGACTGAGAGGGGGACCACCGAGAACGCCCTTCTCAGGGGGACGGGGGAACTACAATCACACAAAGCAGCCTGACTCCTGAGCTCCAGGGGCCCCCAAATCCCTGCACAAGAATGTGATGGGGTTCCCGAGGGGCAGAGAGGCCAGGGAGCTGATGGTGGTGGGGGCCGGGGAGGGTGGCGTCTGCTGAAGGGGGGGCCTGGCCTTAGCGCTCACCCCACATCGCCTGTTTGGGTTCTCTCAATCCCCGCCGTTTCCCCCACCCCCTTCGGGGGAACCAGCAGAGGAAGGGTCGGGGGAGGTGGGGTTGGTGGAGTGGGAGGTGCTGCTTGAGGATTCACTGCGTAGCCAAAGACCCCGGGGAGGAAGGGCAGGGCCCCGCCACCCTTCTCATCCGGTAGGACCATGTTGAGAGCAACTGGCAGAGCAGCCAAGTTGCCGAAGTTGTAGGGGTAGGCGGCGAGGAGCTGGGGGCCGTACACGAGCGGGTAGGGCTCCGGGTAGAAGGTGACTTTAGCAGTCCCCAGACCCTCCCTCCGGTCTCCCTCGGAAGCGCCCACCGGCCCCTCATTCCCAGGCTTCCCTCGGCCACCACCGGGCTCCCGGCTGCCTCCTATCAGGGCCAAGGGAAACTCCTGCACGGGGGGGTACCCATAGCAGCCCCCACCTGCTCCTGGGGGCTCCTCGCCCCCAGAGATGACGGGGTCCTGCAGTGAGGCCGCCTCAGAGGCCTCGGCCGCGCCGCCGCCTCCCGCCTCCCCGCTGGATGAGGACACCTGCATCTCTTGGGGGGCCTCCTCCTTCACGTCACTGGGCCTGGGGCCAATGCCGCCTTTGGAGTAGGCGATGACGGGCGTGGGAGTGCCCCCGGGCCTCTCCACAGCATGCCTCTGCCCGTGTCGGTTGAGGGCAGCTGCTGTCTTGCACACCTTGGCACAGTGGGGGCAGGCGAAGCGGGCGGAAGCCCTCCTCCCAGTCCTGGGGTTGTGCGCGCTCCCGCCGTGGCCTTCCTGGTGCTTTCTCAGCTTCCTCAGGGTGGCAAAGGCCTGGGCGTCGTCACACCGGTGCCTCCGCTCAGCACGCCCCCGTCCTGCCGGGCCCTCCGCTGCTGGGCCCTCCTCCCAGCCCCTTCGGTCCAGCTTCTGCCTCCAGCGTGGAGGCCTTCGTCCTCGGGGCAGTCCGCTGACCCCGCTGACCCCGCTGGCCGCGGCTCCAGCCTTCCGCTTAGGCTTGTATGAATAGTAGGGTCTCCAGAGCTGATCTTCCCCTCCGGCCTTCGATTCCTCCGGGTCCTCCTCCTCCGCCTCCTCCTCTTCCTCGCTCTCCTCTCCTTCCTCTCCACTCAGCTCTCCAGGACGCAGGTCAGTTTCTGAGATGCGGCGCTTGACAATGGCCTCCTCCCCAATTCGCACAGTGATCTGACACAGCGGAGGTGGAGCCTGAAGCTGAGCGGAGCCTCGGCCGGTCCCTGTGGGGGAGCCCCCGCTCCCACCCACGCCCACGGGTTTGGCTGTGTAGGTGAGAGTCCTCCCGGCCCGCAGACTCCGGCCCTTGGCCTCCTCGGTGGCTGTGGCGGGGCAGCCGGCGATGGCGGAAGCCGAGCTGCTGGGTGTTGCTGCGGGCTCAGGGGGCGGAGGTGGGTACTCGCGTTTCTTGGGGGGCCGTGGGGGAGTCGTGTAAGTGATGACTGAGGCAGCTTGGGAGCCTCCTGTGCCGGCTGGTCCACCCCCGGCTCCGCCACTGCCACTGCTCCCGTGGACAATGACCGAGGGAGCTGGGTGGGCAAAGCTGATGACGGAGGCAGGAGGCCCAGGCTCCGGGGCAGGGCGCGGGAGGGGTGGGGGGCTGGTTGCCATTGCTGCAGGGGCCAGTGTGTGGAGGCCTGGGGAACGGGGGACCTCGGGGCCTCCCTGACTGTAGGTCTTGTAGGGCCTCTTGGCTGCCCGCATGGGGAGCAGGCGGTACAGCTTGAGGGTGTTAAGCTTGGGCTTGTAGCCTCCATTGGGTGTCTTCTCGCTGGCTAGGAGGCCGGGGCTGATACCGTGGAAGGCTCGCTGGTGGGTCTTCAGGTTATAATAGGTGACAAAGGTTTCCCAGCAGAAGATGCACTGATACCTGCGGGACAGCAGGGAACAGGGCAGGGCAGAACCACCTGAGTTGGAGGCCCTGGCCTCTGCAGCCCTCAAACCTCTAACTCCCCCAGTGACTCCTTCGCCCCTCCTTTTCTGCTGCCTGCTGCGCCCCACCAGCTTCCGGGGCGGGACTAGAGTAAGCTCAGCACCCGACTCCCGCAGCTTCTACTCTCGGCCTCACGAAATGGGAATAGTCGCACATTTTAGCCCTCAAAATGCCTCGTGTGGTACAAACGACAGGGAGAGCACGCTAAGGAAGTATCAGGTGCTGTTCTGCGCTGTAAGCCCAGCAGGCTGGCCTGTGCTCCCATAGTCCTCTCCTGTGCGGGCAAACGTCTTTCCTTCCTAGCTCTTCCCACAGCAAGACGCTGGCATCGGGTAAAGGAACTGGGGCTGAACGCAGCAGGCGAAGTCCTGGAGGGAGCTGGGCAGGGCCGGGGCCGGGCCGACCCCACTGCGCACGCGCAACTCTGTGCCCCCAGCCCCGTGCCCGCCCCGGTCGCTCACCTGCGCTCCCCCGTGTGCCACACCTCGTGCTTGGTGCGGTACTCGGCCAGCGCGAACACCTTCTCGCAGTAGCGGCAGGGGTACTTCCTGCGCCAGGAGTGCACGTTGCTGTGGCGCTTCAGGCTGGACAGGGTCACGTAGGAGCGCTCGCAGGCCGCGCACACGTAGAGCACGTGGCCGCCCACCACCTTCACCACGTGCTCAGGGCCGTCCCTGAAGCCCGCCGGCGGCGGCAGGGCCGAGGCCTCCGCTCCCGCGGGCCCCCCGGCGCCCGGCCCCGCCGACCCCCGGGCGCTGGCCCCCCGGCGGCACTGGGCCTCGTGGGTCTGCAGGCGCTTGGGGTGGATGAAGCTCTTCCCGCACCGGGGGCAGGGGCAGGGCCGCCGGGGCAGGGAGGGCTGAGGGTCGGCAGCCTGGGCCTCAGCCTTGTCGCCCTCCCACTCGCCGTCCGGCCTAGGCCCCAGACCGTCCTCCCCGGGCCGAGAGGCGGCCACGGGCGCCGGGGCAGGCGGCAGCCAGGCATCACCTCCCTCCCCCAGGCCCTGCAGGCGGGAGATACCCAGGCGGCGCCCCAGGGCCCCAATCTCCGCCACAGCCGCCCCATTGCCGCCACCCCCGGGGAGAGCAAGCCGGGCGCTGTAGATGAAGTTGAGGACATCGGAGAAGGCAGCCGCGGGGACCCCGGGCAGCTCCAGGACCCGGGGAGGGGATGAGGAGTGAGGCGAGGCTGGAGGCGGGGAGGAGGCCGCGGTGGTGGCAGGGCTGGGAGCCGAGCCTCCGGGGGCCGGCGGGAGGGGCAGCGGGGCAGAAGCTAGCAGGGCCTCTCTAAAGAAGGGGCTGGAGGCAGCCAGGACACTGCGGTGCGCGGGGAACTTGGTGTCTCCCGCGATGAGCGTGACGTCGCAGAAGAGGCCACGGAGCCGCTGCTCATTGAGCTGACGCAGGACAGCTGGGGCATGGGACGGGTCCGTCACCTCTGCAGGGGGTGGCATGGTGCCAGCCTAGACGCGGAAGGGAGGGAAGGGGCCAGGGATACCTCAGGTCATAGGGAAGGTCATGACCTCCACTCTCACAGGAAGCAGTAGAAGGGGGGCGCTCTCCGCACCCAACCACTTTTCAGTACTGCCCGCCTTTGCTGGCCTCTGGCCTTGGATCTACTTTCTCCCGGCTGTAATCGCACCAGCACTCTCTCACCTGAGAACATAGCCAACATGGAGCAGAGTAGCGGCTCAGCAACTCCCTTCCGCCCGGCCTTGTCCTTCTGCGGGGAAACAGAAACTGTGTCAGCAATCAAGAGGAGACAGGGGAGGGTCCCCACAAGGAAAGGAGCCAGGACACCGCGGGCATCAGCCATCAGAGCCACCTCGGATGCTCTGCAAACGCCTGTCCCTACCAGGAGCCTGTCAGGCTATTTGGCCAAAGCCAGTCGGACCGAGGGGGCCACATAGCTTATGGCTAGGCTTGCCCTGCTGCCGCCACCCCAGAAGTGCGGCAACAAGGTGATTTGCATATCCCCAGTTCACCTCCAAATAGCCCAGCACACAGCTCAATCCCACGGGTTCAGGACAGCTCACAGATCAGCCTCTAATCCCTGTGGCCCAGTCCTGGGACTCAAAGAAATCCAAGATTTGCATGTTGTTGCGGTTTGTTTTGTTTTGAAATCACAATCACGGTGGGCTTATTTACATGTTAAAATGGAGCTTTTCTTTTTTCCATTGGGATAACCTGATTGGACTTTGCATTAGGAGAGTGACAAGCCACAGACCCAGAAATCTCAGCGAGGGGGTTCTCTAGCCCAGGTTCCAGGTGACTGTTGACAGGCAGACACACCTGCTCCTTCTACTCTCTAGAGGGCACTGGAAAGATGACCGGACCGGGAGTGAGGGCCTCTGCGCCCCACTCCTTACTCTGAGACCTTTGGCGTGTGGATTTTGTCTTTAAAGCTGAGGCAGGGGAGAACGGGTGTGGCGGCACACGTCTGTAACCCCAGCACTCAGGGAGGCAGAGACAGGCGGATCTCTGTGAGATGGAGCTCTGGTCTACAGAGCGAGTCCAGGATGACACTCATCCAAATGTCCCAGCAGGCAGCCCAACCGTGAGCTGTGCCGATCACAAGCAAGTGCATGCCGCAGCTGTCCTGGGTACCGCGCGCTCAGGTTCCCTCTTCTCAGCGGAGGATCTGCCTTCCAGAGCTACTCACCCCCCCTCTCCAAAGCCACGGCCAGCAGAGCCTGCTGGGATCCTCCTCATCCACCCTCAGTGCAGCCAGGAGGTTCTGGCGCCTTCCACGCGCCATGGGTCACGCTTACCCTCAGTGGTGGTCCTCATCCGACTCTCACCACCCCAAAACGTTCCTTGTTCACTGACCACCCACACCATCTAGACTAAAGGCTGCACCTCCCGCACGACGCACCAAAGACATGGCTTTCACACCTCTTCTGGGCGGGAAGAAAGAATGTGGTTAGCAGGGCAACAGGGTCGTAACCACGGTGCCGGCCACGTGAGCGAGAGCCCAAGGGTTGCCCCGTTTGTTGCTGCACTGGATGTGTCAGAGTCCTGGGAACAGAGTCCTCCCTCATCTGCTGTCTGTAGTCACTGTCTCTTACTCCTCTACGATGGCCTCAGGACTGTATCTACACTGTTCATTTCGTTTTTCCCCTCATCAGTTAACACGGGCTTCTCCACTTGAAGACGATTGCTAGGTAGCTTGCTCAGGGCTATGTAACCAGTCAGTAGCCACACAGTCTGGCTTCCAAGCCTCCAGTGACTTCAGTACATCACTGTGAAAGACGTTAACAGCCCCCACGGGGACACTGCTGGCCTACCCAGAACCCCTGTGGAAAGGAGGTGCTCCTTCCTCTAGGACACCGTGTGACGATTAGAAAAGCCACTTGACTCCAGGCCCCCTTCATGCCTGTGGCCAGGACGTGCACCACGCCACAGGGAGGGCGGTATGCAGCTGTGTGTGGGCCACCATCGTGTAGGACCAAGCCACCCGAAGCTGGCCTAGCTCTCAGCCATCACTACAAGCTCTGCAGCTGCCATTTCTTTCTAGGCAAAGCAGAGCAAAATATGTCATGCACCTCACGTTAGCGCTCCGAATGACCTCTGTGAGGCTAAGCTCTTCGAATTCCTCTCCAGGTCAAGGGAGGGCCACTGGTATGGGCGTCCGTTTCTGGCCTGGCTGCCAGCTCCCCAGGAGCTTAGATCAGTTCAGCTGCCCCCAGCACAGGCCAGTGCCCTGAAAGGGGTCACGGGAGATGAAGACACCAGCTAGGAACCTGGAAAAGTGACTCAACCTCTCTGTTTCCTTGTCTGTATGGTGAGGGCGGCAACCCGTTCCCGCTGTGAGGACGAAATGACCTAAGAACTGGTGGCCCAGCCAACCAGGGGTCAATGACACTCTAATCCCCTGCACCTGCGCCGAACACGCAGATGCCACGCTCCGGTCATTATTCCTACACAGCACAAGAGCGAGACCACTTAAACAGGTGTGGTGGAGTATGAGTGTAGTGCCAGCACTGTGGGGGTGAGGCAGGGGGATCGCTGCAAGTTCCGTGCCAGCCTGATCTGCACACTGACTATCAGGCCAGCAGAGCCAAATGAGAGAGCCTGACTGGAAGCAAACACATAAAGTAACCCCCCCCCCAACAATTCACATGGAAGATCTATGCTCCAAAACATCTTGAGTAGAGAGACAGTAGAGGGAGGCTATGTTAGGTGCCAGCAGCATGCCATCTCATTTGTTTACTCTGAGATAGGCTCTCAGGGAGCCCAGACCTTGGCTGGTCAAGAATAGTCTTGAATTCTTGATCCTCTCGCCTCTAGCTTCTCAGTGTTGTGATTATAGAAATGCATCACCAGACAGGACATACTAGGATATTTGCACCAGTATAAAACTTGGTTTTCTATAAGCAACTTGAGCATCCAAAGCCTCCAATAGCCGTGGGGCATTCTGGAATGAGTTCCTCTGGGTGACCGTGCCTAGTCTTGGAAATGGTAAGGAAAGTGATGAAGAAAAAAAAAAAAGGCAGAATTTGGCCTTCAAGATGAGTTTGGTGGAGAGACGGCTCAGCAGCTAGGAGCACTGGCTGCTCTTTCAGGGGACCCCATTCAATCCAGCATACGCATGGCAGCTCACAGCAGCGTTAGTAACTGCCGCCCCAGGGGAACGCATGTCCTCTAGCCATTCGCAGCAGGCTGGAACACGGAGCACAGACATGCACGCAGGCAAAACCTCCGTGCACCCTAAGTAAATAGACATGCATGTGGGGAAAACATCGTGCACGTTAAGTTAATGGACACGTGTGCAGGCAAAACATCCATGCGCGTTAAGCAAATGGACACGCATGTGGGGAAAACATCCGTGCACAGAAGTAGATCAATAACCGCAATTTTGAAAGGATGAGTTTGCTGCGTCTATGGTTTTAAAGTTCTTATTTGTTCGTCCTTCCTGCTGCTTCTGTGTGTGTGTGTGTGTGTGTGCGTGCGTGTTACTGGAGACTGAATCCAGGGTCTCAAGCATGCTAAGGAGGCGCTCCCTCACTGACCTCCATTTCTCTACTCTGACTGCCTAGGCGACCTCAGCAGTAGGAAAGGTGAGGACCCAGGGCAGGGCAGAATGCTTCACCTCTTGCTGACCTCCACACCGAGGCTCTGCCTCCGCAGGGCTACATACCCATTGTTCTACCTCCTTCAGGGCCCCTTGCGTGGGGGCCTTCCCTGGCCGCTCCTTCTTTCCAGAAGGTCGTATCTCCCTATTCTGCTGCATTTCCCCTCATGTCACTTACTAAATTTCCTGGTTTTAAATTTTATTTCTTTTTATTTTATATACATTGGTATTTTACTGCATGTATATCTGTGTGAAGGTATCTGATCCCTTGGAACAGGAGTTACAGACAGTTGTGAGCTGTCATGTGGATACTGGGACTTGAACCCAGGTCCTCTGGAAGAGTGGTCAGTGCTCTTAACTACTGGGCCATCTCTCCAGCCCTCATGTCACTTAGTAATACACGCTGCTCATTATCTCTAGAATGTGGGCTCCAAGGAGGGAAGGGTAGGGACTTCTGACCGTATTGCTTGCTCAAGCATCTTGTTCTCAGAATGCTGTGTAGCGCATAATGAGGAGTTAAAAAATTAAAAGGCTGGAGTTACAGCACAGTGATTCAACACCTGCCTGGCGCGGTCTTGGGTCCCAGCGCAGAAGAACGAGGAGAGATGCAAGAATAGCAGGATTTTGGTGAATGAGGTGTTAGTGTTGGTGACAGAAGACTTCAGTGCCAGCAGTCTAGAGGGTGAGTCCAGAAGATCATGAATTTGAAGTTAGTTTGGGCCTTGTGATGAGAATGTGCTAGAACAAAGGAAGCCATTCTCCCTGGAGTCTCTGCTCTCAAGAAAGAAGCCACGCTTGGAGTGGAGGATGACGGTCCCACCTTGGCTTTTGGGACATTCACAGTCTGCCTGGTACATTCTAGAGGCTTTATATACACTGTCTCATTTAATTATAACCTCAAAACCACCCACAACAGGCCACAGAAAGTATTCATATTCTCCCAATCTTACAGAAAAGGAAACTGAGACTCACAGAGAATAAACCTTGTTCGAGGTCACATAGATTGTACGTAACAGTGCCAAAACTTGAATCCAGGCTTGGAGGACCCCGGATGCCGAGTCTTTCCCTCTGCCATGCTGCTGGATCCTGCCCTGAGGAGCCTATAGCAGGCCAGCTGGTTACATAAATCACCACACAAACCCTCACGTGCTAAGCGTTAACTGTGTCACATCTGACTCCACCCTTCCCCTTGTTCCCAAATCCAGCCGTCACCAAGTCTGGCTGAAGCCGAGTGGAAACGGCTTGCAAGCCTTCTCTGGCCCCACTAGCTGCCAAAAGCATTCCAGGCCTTGTCAACACCAGCATGGGTCAAGGCCATGGGCAGTGAGCTATCTCTTTACCTGTAGGTCTCTCTCTCTCTCTCTTTCTCTCTCTCTCCCTGCTGTCTCCCCTGAGCATCCTGGGCATTAACTGCAGTTTAGTTTAACTCCCAGGATGAGAGCGGCCTTCAGAATCTGGGTCTGTTCGTTCATGCCCACAATCCCAGCATTCAGGAGGCTGGAGTAGGACCGCACAGAGTTCAAGGCCAAGCTGGGCTACATACGGAGGCCCTGCCTCAGAAATACAAAAGCTAGGGTGGCCAAGCTGACTCAGAGGGTAAAGACACCCCCAGGACCTATGTGGCAGAAGGGGAGCCGCCATCCTGCAAGCTCGCCTCTGAAGTCCGCGCATGCTGTGCGTACACAGATAATAAGTGCAATTCAAAAGAAAACTGCCTGGGGAGACAGTTCTGCGAGAGTTGCACTGGAGTTTAAATCTCTGCCACCCACATATAAAGCTGGGGTACGGCTCTGTGCGCAGCACCCCAGCACTGACAGGCAAAGACAGGCTGAGGGCTCACTGGCTGGTCATTCTAGCCAAGATGGCAAGTTTTGGGTCACTGTCACTTTCTCAAGGCAATGAGGCAGGAGGTGATAGAAGGCAAGCAATGTCTTGCTCCAGCCTCCACATGAGCAGTAGACTGAAACCTCACACTCAAGTGCATTGCGAGTGCACACACACACACACACACACACACTCACACACACACACACACACACACTCACTTTTAATGCCCTTTCCTTAGCCTCTGTCCAACATCTGTACAAACCGTTAGGCCTGAACTAAATCTCTTCCTTTGCCCTTTATGACCCCTGGGACAAGGTCAATCTTTCCTTCTGATTAATCAACCTTCAGGGCCCCACAACCAGCCACAACAAGACAAGCCACAGACACTCAGGTTCTCACACCCTGGCCTGGGACTCCTGACAGCACTCCCCATGAGTACTGGGCTTCAAAAATAGGTTGGTAAAGGGCTGGAAAGATGGCTCAGCAGTTGAAAGCTTGACGACCACCCAGGTTCAGTTCCCAGCATCATCACGGTGCCCAGGCTCTGGGCCACGTGTAAGTCCAGCTGCACCATCTCCTGACTTCCTCAGGCACCAGGCACAAACATACATATGGGCAAAATCTTCATGCACATAAGAGAAATAAATCTTTAAAAAAATTAAAATTTATCGGGGAGCCAGGTGTGCTAGTTTAAACCTTGAGCCTAATAGTCAGGAAGCTGAAGCAAAAAGACTGCCAAAAATCAGAGGTTAGTCTTGGCTTGGCTGCAGAGTCTGACCCTGTCTCCAAAAAAGAAAAGGGAAAAAAACTGATGTTCTACAAAAATGATGGAATGTGTTGTCATGTGCCCGCTCCAGAAAAGCAGGGACGGGCCGAGGTCAGGAGCATGGACCTGGAGGCTAACCGCCGCTCACTACCCAAGTGACGTGGGCAAAGGCCTGAACTCCTCTGGGTTTCAGCTGCGTGGCCTGAACAAGTGAGGAAGTCAGAGTGCCAGCGAGAGGAACGGATGAGCGACGGTACAGAAAAGCCTGGGAAGCGGGCCTGTGCAGTCAGCGCGGACCAACTGTTTATGACTCCCGCTGCCCTCGAAGCTGGGGCTGGCAGGGGCTGGCACGGCGTAGCCTCTGGTGCTGCACATCAGCTGCCCGAGCTGGACAGAGCGGTCAGCAGCCCGGTCCGACAGATGAGGACCAGGGCGCCGGAGAACGTTCCAGCGAGGGAGCTGCAGAGGCACCAGGGCACGCAGTCCCTGCCACGCTCCTGGCCTGCACCTGTCCTACGGCCTCAGGAAACCCACTCCGGACGCTCTGCCGAGGCCTGCCCACCTCACTGCACCCGCGGGCCGGGCGGAACGCACTCTGTTGCACGCCAACGGAGGGAGCGGCGTCTGCCTATCGCCCACACGCACTCAAGGGCCCGGGCCCCAAAGGTGAGGGAAACCTGTTCCAAAGAATCTGCTGAGTGAGCAGGTCCGGCCCGAAGCCCTTCCGTGTCACAGGAGACACTGCAAGGGGGGCAGAGAGGGGAGCGGGCAGGGCGGGGGGAGGAGACTGGAGGCTTCACCATCCCCTTTTCCATTTTGGTGACAAAAGTCACACCCGGCCTTTACGTAAACCGCTCTGTCTGGGCTCACTTCCCCTGCAGGCGCCAGGGCTTTCCTCTCTCGGGCCCTAGGTGCCCGGTGAGGGGCGGACGGAGACCCCGCGGAAGAGAGCGCTGCCCCCACCGGCCCCGCGCCTGCCCCTGCCCCGGCTGGCATTCACCTCCCAAGTTTCCCACCTCTCCCGGGCAGCCCGGCCCGCCGGTCAGGCGCACAAAGCTTCCCACTGCCCCCGGGTCTGAGGCCCACGGCGCCCTGGTCACGCCACCGCCTCCCCGGGGCTCTCTGACCAGCCTGCTCCCAGCCCGGCAGCCCCGACAGGCTCCCACGACAACGTCACGAAAGGATCCCGTGGGGGTGTTGCAAACACGCAGCCTCCCCCGTGCTCGGCCGTGGGCAAGGCGCACCTCGCGTGGGCCGCCCCGGGCCCCTGGCCCACACCGGCTGCCCCGCCATCGGCAGGTCTGAGTTCCAGGCGCGCGGCCCCCAGGGAGCTCACCAGCACACACACAAACCCATCCGCCCTTCTGTCCTCCACACAGCTGGGCCACACCTCACCACGACTACACAGACGGGACCTGGGTGTGATGCCTCCTCGTCAAACGTCCACGGCTGCGCTCTCACTCGGGCACGCACGCCCTGCATTCCGGTGGCCACCGTAACGCGGACACACAGACGCACGCACCCCACACTCGGGCCAGCCACAGAAAACAAACATTCGTGTGTGCGCCGCAAGACATGCGTGCACGGAAGCACACGCCGACAGAACCCTACACACCAGCCCCGACTCCACGCTCCAGCCGTCTGCCCCCAAAGCCACAGAGCCTATCCCGAGCCCCCCAGGCCCCGGGAGACCCTGGTGCCAGGCGGCGCTGCCCGGGGGCAGTTTACCTTGCCCCACAGACCGCAGGAGGCACGCTCTCCGCCCTGCCCCGACGGCGCGGCGGTTCCGGCCCTCGCTCTCACTGCGCACCCTGCACACCCCAACTCCGGGGCGCCCGGAGGGCCACCCCTCCCCCTCTCCGCCTGGCTCCTACGCCATCGCCCTCCCAGCAGCTTGCAGCGCCTGCCCGGGATCACACCCGCCCCGCCCCACCCCCAACCTGCCCCACGGCGGGAGGGGGGCCCGGGGCTGCAGGATTTAACCCCTCGGAGGTGGGGTGACCGCGACCCCCCGCTCACAGCCCCGGGAGACCGAACCCCGAGACGCGGCTCGCCGGACGCCATACCGGGGCGCCCTCAAGTCGCTCCCCAGCGCCGTGCGCGCCCGGGGGCGGGGCCTAAGCCAGCCCCCGACCCCCGCGCCCCGAGATCAAGCTGGA